ATGTTTGTGTGTGTGCGTGCGTGCGTGCGTGCATGTGTACGTGTGTTCAGTTCTTATGAATCATTATAGTCTAAAACAGGTTTTGTTTTCAGTGCTTTCTGCTATATCTGTTTTGATCTCTTCTGGACTCCAAACATGCGACGTTCGTTAAAGTCCCTGATGGCAAATGGGGCAGGGAAACAGGGGCGAAGGAGAAATCCAAACACAAAGCCATTGTTCTTGCTACTCTTGGCTATCCAGTGACTCCGCTCCTGACTCAAAGTGTGGTCAGAGGGTAAAAGCAATATTGTACTTAGCTGTGGTGCGATCCACCCTTCCCCCACCCAATAAAATAAACAAACACTGACTGTCTAAGTTAATGCATGAAAGCCCCTTGTAACATATACCATAGCACGAGTCATGTATTACCTTCAGGATAGGACAGGAGAAGAGGGGGAGTACTGGGGGGTGAGGGGAGGGAATATCAGTAACACTTTAATGAATCAGCTAGTTGGTCAGTGAGTGTGATTGTGATCAACCTTATGCAGTTTAACCACATGCATAATATATCTGTTCCTTGAATCACATCATAAAGGAAGAAAAGAAAAAGAAGTAGGAGAATGCAGAGAGGTCCAAAGAGTACACAGCAGCAAACGACAGACCATTAAACATGGGACTGAGCTGAAACACTGGATCCTTAACAGAACCGTGCTCTTCACAGTGGGATAGTCAAGCTTGCAAACATACCCACACACTGGGGACCGTCTGCACAACCCCCTGGGTTTACCATTAGCACTGCATTGGGATCGGGGGGGGAAAACAATTCAATGGATGATCAACGCTAAAACCTTTTTAATATGTCCATTTCAGTGGAGCTTTGCTGCAACAATTGTTTGTTGAAATACGGAGTGCCGGTGAGATCATGGAAGGTTTCTGGTTGGAAGGGATACTGACCCTGGCAGTGACTGAGCTGAGCTGTGTTACCATCTAGAAATGGTGCTGAATCATCCCTAGATGTACTGCACGACAATGTCTCTCTCGGCTGAAGATAATTCAGTTGACATGACAGTCACAGACAGCAACTCCTCCAGACTATAGAAACAGGAGGAGGCCATTCAGCCCTTCGAGCCTGTTCCGCCACTCTATAAGATCAGGGCTGATCTGTACTCAAGTCCAATTACCCGCCCCTTGCCCCATACGTCCTCAGCATTTTAGTTTTTATTTTAGAAATCAACTGAAGATGACAAACGGTGTAAAAGGAGACATTGTCCAAGTTACTCAATGAACTCCCTGAGCCGTGTAAAGGAGCACAGTGTTGCTTCTTTGAAACAGGAACAAATCGCTCCCAATTTAAGAATATAATAATAAACCTTGCAATTTGATGCAGCGCTTCATCGCGTCTTCGAGACGTCTCAAAGCACTTCACAGAATATACTGCAAAGTCAATTAATATAAGAACGTATGTAAGAGATGCTGGACAAAAAAAGACCAAGGTCCATCTAGTTCGCCTCCCACCTTCCTGGCGGTCGAATGCACACATGTCCCAAACTACCTATGTACTGTATCCCCTAATGTTATTTCCTAAAAGAAAACTTCTAATCTGTACTTGAAAGAATCAACACTTCCTGCTTCAACCGTCTCCCCGGGGAGCCTGTTCCACAGGTTCACTATTCGCTTAATGAAATAGTGTTTGCGTAGTTTCGTTCTGAATTTAAACCCCTTCAATCGCAGGCCGTGTGTCCTCTGGTTTTACTATTCTGTATATACAACTGAGAGCATATTTTGTGGGCGAAATCTCCCAAGTACGGAGGAAATAATTAGAAATTAAAATGTTCGGGTTACAGCGAAATTATAATCACAACCTCCCGTCAAGACTCCATACTGTCTATCAATGGTATCCATTCTCTAATCCACATGCTAGCAGTTAGCAAGAGGTTGTCAGGCCTCAAGTCTGCAACGCAATTAGCACCAAGATACAACATAAAGAAACAAATCAATTCCCTAACGTAGGTGCAAATTTCCGCCCTGATCTGAAGGAGAGGAAGGATTAAAGAGTGGAGATTCGCAATGCAAACCCGAATAGTGCGAAGCGAGTTGAACAATGGGTAATGAATGGTCTCCCGACTTTATTGACGTTTTTAAACTTTTAAAGTAATGGGAACTTTAAAGGCATAGTAACTCACTTTAAAATAAAATCAATCGAACTAGAAACTACAGCAACAACTTGTATTTATATAAGGCCCCAGAGCTCTATCCTGCGTGAAGGGCACTATATAAATGTACGTCGCTGTTGTTGTCGTCGTTATGGGCTCGTGTTAATGGCGAGTGGTGGGGAGGAGACGGGGTCATGGGAAACCTACAAAATCACTGCTCAGATTCTCGGACATGGCAGGACACTCCCTTCTTCTTTGGGTTGCTCTTTTGGGAAGAAAACAGAAACTCCTGAGTGGAAACTGGGCAAGACCCTCGCGGTCTGCGACAAACATGAGGACCGAATGGACCACAAGACGTGTGTGTGTGTGTGTGTGCGCACGTGCTTTACAGCAACTTCTCTGAGGAGACTTGAAATCAATCCTCTCTGCTCGCGAACAAGACTGGGCAGTTCTAAACGATCCCTCCCTGAGCAAATCACGACGGGGAAAAACACGGATGTGCTGTGCAGGCCTGCTCTGCGTGCTTGCTGCAGGTCAGAAATCTCAGTCCTTCCTGATGATGTGCCTAAAAAAACTCTGCAAGTCACATCCTGATGAGTCAACACACAGGTCCTGTCGCCAACGAAAGCACTTGGAACATAACGTCCAATATCTGCAGATTCCTCAAGCAAATTAATTCAGCAAACCTTCATCCCGTGGCTCATTTATAGAAGCAGTATTTAACTGTAAATGTTTGGCAGCGTTATTTCTCCCGCAGCTGATAACTCTCGTGATTTATGTGTCACTTGGGGGGTGGGCGTGGAGTGAGTGGGGTGGGGGTGGAGTGGGGTGGGGGGGGGGGGGGAAATGATCATGAAAAGCAGCAAGCAAACCCCCACCCCACCTCCCTCAATCTTGTTTTTGGATCAGCTGGAATGACACAGCCAAACACTGAGCTGATTATGCTTCGTCACTGTACTTACTATGCTCACGGCTGGGTCTGCAGGCTTGGGGTTATAGGAATGTGAACTCCCATTGGATGTGGAGCCCTGTAGCTCAGTGGTTACAGCACTCGCCTCGAAAGCGAGTGGACCTGGGTTCGATTCCCGGGCAGGACGTAACGTTGGGCAAGTTTCCTTACTCCACACATACCCACACGCCTCCGTTGACCCAGCAGTAAACAGGAATCCAGTTGTTAGTCGATTGGTGGTTCGCTTTTCCGGGGATAACAATCCCTTAAAAATAATTTGGTCACTCAGTCCACGACTGTTTGTGGGACACTGCTGTGCGCAATTCGGCTGCCGCGTTTTGCCCACAAAATATACAGTCACTACACTTCACAGTATACTCTGTGAAGCGCTTTATGAGTCGGGCTATCACTATCTCAAATGTACTGTTATACGATGTGTCCAATAAAATTCCGTACAGCAGAAATGATTGTAAAGTGGTTTGATCCTATAAAATTTCACTGACTGGGAAAGAATAAAAATGACTTGGTCCACTAGAACTTCACTCCCGCAGTTACCCCAACGCATACCCTGGGCTCTCCCCAAGCCTTGGCTCTTGCCAACCTGCGCCATAAACTGGATCCGTCCCTCCACAGGGAGAGTTCATATGCCATTCCAACAATCTATCCCTGGGATTTCCATGTGGAGATGCAGGGAATTCTCACTTTGGTTTGGATACTCTTAGGCACGGTGATGGGTTTGTGCATATGTCAGACACCCACCAGACTGCCTTTTAAAAATATATCTATCGATCTAATGGGAGTGAATATGGAGGAGCTTTAGTCCATTAGAACTTCTTTGCCTGATTTAATCTCCTGCCAGGACTCTGCACACAGGAGAAAACAGTTGCAATGTCCCTCCGTTTAACTTTTGTTTGAAGATCCTGCAACCGTGGCTAAGATGACCCTTGGATGGGTCAAAGCGATGTGTGGGTGTGTATATATATATATATATGTGTGTGTGTGTGTGTGTGTAAAAAACAAGAGACATCATTTCAATGTACTCTGATGGATCAAACACACAGCAATAGCGAACTGAATACAAATGAATCAACCAGGCTAATTGTGTATTTTGTGCGTTTTTGCTCACAAAATACAGTTAATTCCTTTTTTACAATATATTCTGCGTTGAGACGTCTCAACGACATGTCAAGGCACTAGTTACATCAAATGCAAGGATTATTATCATTATTATTATTATCTCCTCTTCCCTCTCCAGTGCAAACTGTCCCTATGTTTTTTAAATTTAGGATCTATTCTTGGGGAAAAGCTTGGCCATACTCTTCTCTCTCCTCTCTCTATCTACTTTCTCTCCCATCCCCTCCCCACTCTTCTTTTCTTTTGCAAATGAAATGAGTCGAACACGCATCACACCAGTTCCTCGCCAGGCTCCACTGGCTCCCAATTACCGAATGGATCGATGTCAAGATCCTGTCCACTTGTTTTCAAATAAATCCCTTCATGGCCCTCGCATCTCCCTACTTATCCGATCTGCTTACCCCCCCCCCCCCTCACTCCACCACTCCCACAGGCTCCGGCCTCCTGTTTGTCACTCGTGCCCTCCACTCCATCGGTGGCCGTGCCTTCAGCCACTACGCCCCGAAACTCTGGCGCTCTCTCTCCCTCGATCCCTCCCCTCCACCTCGCAACCCTTCTCTCCCATCCCCGCCTTCAAATCCCGCCTTGAAAGACCTTCCTTTTTGATGGTGCTTACGGTCACCTCCCCATGCCCTCCCCCCATCCCCCACCCGCCCTCCCTCTCCCCCGCGGCTCGGGGTCAGACTCCGGGATACTAGCCCGGCATGAATGGCGCTGCGTGAACGCAAGTCGTCACTATTGTTGTCGTTAGTTAGTTAGTTAGTTGTTGTCGCAGTGTCACTTACTCTCCCCCTCGATCTTCTCGGATCCTCGGCTCCAGATGATCTGCCTGGTCTCCAGCTTCACCTGGAAGGTCTTCCTCTCGGGCCGCTGCGACTTCTTGGAGTAATACAAAGTCATGACGGTGCCCACTTCCAAACTCCTGCACAGGTCATTGCTTTGTACCCCATGTTCCTGCACCAAACCATTCAGGAACAAGCCTCCTGAAACAGCCATGTTCCAACCCCCCCCCAACCCACACACACACACACACACACACCTCTCTGTAGAAGATCTCTTTGTGTGTGTGTGTATATATATATCAGAACCAAAGATATATATATATAGAGAGAGAGAGAGAGAGATGAGAAAGCTCCAGACCTTTCCTGGTGGACAAGCCTGGATGAGAAAGCAAAGGATAGATAGCACAGTCCCTCTCTTTCTCTGTCTCTCTTTTCTTCTGCCTCTCTTTCTCTTTCTTTCTTTCTTTCCTTCACTTCCTCTGTCTCTGCCTTTTTACTGTTCCATGTCCTGGTTTTTAAGGCTCGGATTCTGGAACAAGAGAGAGAGAGAGAGAGAGAGAAATCCTCAATGAGCCACAGGACACGATCCGCTTCTCCACACCGACTTCGTTATATAAAGCAAACCCTCCTCCCTCCCTCTCTCTCTCCTCCCTCCCTCTCCCTCTCTCTCTCCTCCTTGTGTTTTTTCCTTCTCTCCCCCTTTCTCCCTCTCGCCCCTAATCAATGCACGACAGTCCGTCTCTTCTCCTCCTCTCTTCTCTTCTTCCTTCCCTTTCTCTCCCTTCTTTGGTTTTCTTTCTGCTTCGCTTTCTAGGATCGATGGTTAAAGGAGAGAGACAGAGAGAGACACAGAGACAGAGAGAGACACAGAGACAGAGAGAGACACAGAGAGAGACAGTGAGACAGAGACAGAGAGACAGAGAGAGACAATTAAGCTCTTTTTTCTGTTCTTTCTGTTGCAAAGACGTGTAGCTCCGGAAGTATGGCTGTGAGAGAGACTTATAGAGAAAGCTTCTCTCTCTCTCTCTCTCTCTCTCTGTGTGTGTGTTTCTTTGTTGCAAAAGGGGGTGGAAAGAGAGAGAGAAAAAAAAATGAATGAATGATTTCACATCTCTCCTTCTCCCCTTTCTCTCGCCCCCTCTCTCCTTCTCCCCAAACCCCCCCTCTGCCTTCTCCCGCAGACACTAAATCAATCTAATAACGTGTCTCAAACTGCGACAGAACGAGGGGAGGAGAGAGGAGAGGAGAGGGGAGGGGGGGGTGTGGGGGTGTGGGGACCAAACAACAACAACAACAACAACAACAGAAACACAAATCAGCTCAAAGAGGTTCTCTGCCTTCCAGAGCAGAGCTGGGACTTGTGCTCTCTCTCTCTCTCTCTCTCTCCTCCCCTCTTGCATCCTACTGAAAGGCTGCATTCACAGCCCATCTGGTGAATGATTTCACCTCCTCCCTCCCCTCCTTTCCTCCCCTCCCTCCCTCCCTCCCCTCCCCTCACCCTCACACACACACACACACACTGCCTTTCCTTTCCTTCACCTCCTTCCAAACAGTGAATTGCAGCACTTCAGATCCGTCTGTTCTATTCTAACCCGTCTGTGGGTCTGTCTGTAAAGCATATTATTTTTAATCATTATCGTTTGAGAGATATATATGTGTATATATATGTATATCTCACACACTCACTCACTCTCACTCACTCACTCACTGGTCTCCTTTGTTTCTGCAGAGAGGGAAACATGGCTGTACATCACCATGTTTTCACTGCAAAACACACACTGCTGTCGATTCCCCCAAACCTTTCAATTGCCCTTTACAGCCAAGTCCCACATCCAACCTTCAGCTAAACAGCCTTGTGGCATCCACAATGTAACTGCCCCCCTCCCTCCCTCACTCCCTCTCACCCTCTCACTCACTAACTCATTGCAAAGGCTTTAGAAGTTACAAGCTGGGTTTTAACTACAAGGCTGGGGTTTGGCTGTGGTACAGTACAAACAAACCTCGCAATTTTTTTTCACAAGAAATTCAGATGGATCAGATTTTTGCCAACTGCAGTCACACACTTCGCTGCTCGAATCGGCACTCAAAACCTCCTCACGGATCCAAACTGGTTTGGAGACTCCGGGAGCGGAGCGTTAAAAGGAAAACGTGCGTCCCAGTAGTAATAATCGGAATATAATAATCCTTGCATTTGATATAGCGCCTCATCGCGACGTTCGGACGCCTCAAAGCCCTTCACAGAATACGCACACAACGTGAAGTGTAGTGACTGTATACTGTGTGGGCGGAACGCAGCAGACAATTGCGCACAGCAGCGTCCCGCAAACAGTCGTGGATTGAGTGACTTTATTTGCTTGACGGGAGCACAGAGGAAAATGGCTACCTTCAACTTCAAGTGTAAACCGTAACTGTTTAATGAAACCCCTACACGGACAATCGTACGTGGGTGAGATTTCGGTGCCAAATGGGTGAACTACATGAAAAATACACTTCAAATCAGACATTTTGAGAAACTGAAGAGTATTCTGAATTCACATGAAACAAGCTGAGCTTCCAATGTAATCATATCTTGCCTCACCCCCTCCCATCCTCAGCACTTTCAATTTCCGCCTAGAGACCTTCCTTTTTGATCGTGCTTGTGGTCACCTCTCCTCTTCCCCCCCCCCCCCGGGGTAAGCCTCCGCTGTCAAGCAGCCCAGGCCCTACCCACCACGTGAATGAAGGGTTCTATATAAATGCAATTGTGGTTATCTATCCATTCAATATAACGCAGTTGGTAATGCCATTAATTCACGATAATAGCTCTAATGCAGTGGGGTTTGTTTTGGAGTGGATGGGGGGGGGGGGTGGGTTGTGGGAGAGACGGGAAAAGAGGAATACTGATTTAAAAAGAATATTTGGGGAAAAAAATGTTGAAATGTATTCATTGACATAACAGTGCATCTTTACACACAGGAAAACCAAGCTGTAGAAATAAAATCTCATTATCAGCACATTTTAAAGATTGCAACATAGCAACTGGTCAGATTTGAATCAGTTAACGTTTGGTTAACAGATAAACTTCTGGCCACACAAGAAAAACACAGTTATTAGCTGAATACTGTATTGTTTCTCACTGAGGGAAGGGAGGGGGGGGGGGGGGGAAGAGTTGTGAAAAAGAAATACATTGTGCCAATTAAGTGCATTTATCTTTTAATCAAATCAACTGAGCTTTAGCTGACACTGTCTTGCAGGGAGGGATCGGGGACTAAAGGTAAGAGGGGAAAAAAGTAATGCACGAGGTTTCAGGTTGAGCTCCCGGAGTGGCTGTTATTATAGCATCAACAATAATAATAATAATATTTGATTTTAATATAGTTCTTTAGCACATCGTCAAATGTCTCAAAGCGCTTCATAGAATACACTGTAAACTGTAGTGACTGTATTTGTAGACATTATGGGATCGGGAAGGGCTAATAATACCCATAGTGTCTCCTGCTCCTCACCAACCATCACTTAGGAGGGATCACTGCTGAAGAGTGTGAGCATTGGGTGGGGTGGGAACCCCAGTGATACCCACCGATGTTTGTTCCAGGACTCTGGGACCCTACCCTATGTGAGGGAGGCAATAAAAATGCAATTTGTTGTTCTTGCTCAGAAGATGGATGAAAATTGGAGGAGGAGGAGGTTAAAGGGACAAGATTAAGAATGGCTTCCCACTTCCGAGACGCCTTGTTTTGTGGCAGGGTTTTAACTGCCCTTTAACTTTCAGTCTGAGGTTAACAGACAGGACTTGGGTAGTGGAGGGATGGAGAAGCTGATCCCGCCAGGTTTACCGAACAGCTCCACGAGCTGAGAGGCCCCGATTTTCAGATGACCCAGATAAAGGGCTCAGATACAAAACCAGAGATACAAGTTTGTGGCTGAACATTTGTTTGCTTGACGTCAGTGATACTGACAACAGCGCCGCCTGTGGGAGATGGATTCATGGGCCAACATATTCAACTCGAATGGGGATCGAGTTTTCTCAAGTACACGCAACTCATTTTACAGCATCCTAATGCAATTGCCACCACAGGTCAGTTGGTGGGACTCCAGCAATAAGGGTGGCAATCAATGTCCACAATTTGGCCATCGTTAGCAAATAACTCACTGCGCCAACAGCAGCAATAGCAAGCAGAGGGACGTTTCAAATCGTACTGGAGAGCAGTTAGTTACCGTATGTGTACTTCCTGAACCACATAAGTTTAATGAACAATAATTCTTTCATTTTGATACAGCACCTGACCATGCCTTCAAGACGTCTCAATTGCTTCACAGAATATACTGTAAGGTGAACTGATTGTATATTTTGTGGGGAAACGTGGCAGCCAATTGCGCACAGCAGCGTCCCCACAAACAGTTGCGGATTGAGTGACCAAATTTTTTGAGGGAAGGGATTATTATCCCCGGAAAAGCAAGACGTCAATCGACTAACAACCAAGTTCCTGCTCACTGCTCGGTAAACAGAGGAGTGTAGAGTAAGGAAACTCGCCCAACATTTCGCGCTGCCCAGGAATCGAACCGAGGTCCGAGAGGTTGCGAGGTGAGCGCTCTAACCAGTACACCACAGGACTCCCTCACAAGGATACTCAGCGAAGCTATAACTAACTCCCAAGTTTTACACATATTCAGTAACACAAGTTTGTTTCCTAAATACAATAACGATCCATGCGAGTCTGTTTGTAAACATTAAACTGAACAGAATCTTGTGGACACTGAAACATACAACACGGAATTGGCAACAAGCATCCAACTGAGAAAATATTGTCAGATTTGTTGCCTCTCTTATGCCCCTTGATGTAGATTGTTGATGTAAAAAGTTCATCATTCTGAACTGTGTGAAATCCTTGTGTAAGTGAAAAGGGAATTTCCTCAACAGGGAAGTAAGTGTCTCTGGGATTCTGAACTCGCCCCTGTAATAGCAGATCTTTTATAAACTGCAGCCAACAGAATTGGTATTTGGTCAAAATTAAATAAGTCTTCATTTTAAAAAAAAATCTTATTTTTATTTATAGAACACATATTGTGCAATCCATTTGGTTCAGTAATTTGTCTGTAAGAACAGGCGAAAGGCACTGAAGTAATAATAATCCTCGCATTTGATATAGCGCTTTATCAAGCACGTCTGAGACGTCTCAAATCGCATCACAGAATATACGGTAAAGTGAATGGACTGTGTATTTTGTGCGGGAAACAGTCTTGAAAGTAGTTTGCGATCTGCAATGAGAAAAACAGGGTCCCTCAGGCTACCCAGATGTTGAATGGTGGAATCATCCAAATAAAGCAGTGCCACATTATCGAGTGCGTTACAGTCACATTGGGGCAACCTCCTGGCCAAAATGCACAGTGGCGTTATTTGTACTTTTCTGACTTGTAACTGCAAGAGCAAATTGGTGCAACAAGGCAAGGAACACAAAATTCTAAGTGGCTAAAAAAAGAAGCAAAAAGGGAGTTTTCTCTGTGGAGATTGGGTCAAAGAAAATGACCAAAGCCGTTTTCTTTATTCTTCAACTTGAATATGTCCTCTGTGCACTGTTGGATTAGGTTCCCACTAAAACCAGAGAGTAAGGGAAAAGAGACTCAAGTATAATACAGTAATAGACATCAGCTGGAAACTCCGATAAGTCCAGAAGACTCTCTGGCTGAGCAGGAGGGATACCAGCGAGACCCCGGAAAGACCTTTTACACTGATCCCAGATCATGATCCAGGCTGAATTTAATGCCAGAGGTACTGAGGATAGAGGTAAGTTAAACAGCAAGTCAGACTTCCTTCCCCACAAAGTAGTCAGCTCACACCAACATTGGCAGAGGCCCAGAAATTTGTGGTGGTGGTGGAGGGGGAGAGAAAGAAATGCAATTAATAATCACACTCAGGGATACAATATTTAAAAGCCCCGTCACTTACTCCGCTCTGCAATACATTTAAATGAAGTACAAACACCAGACTCTGCCACATTCATAGTGTACAATGTGTTTATTTAAAAATACAAATGAGCACAATTCATTGCAGTATGTTAAATTTACAGAAATAATCTGTAAAAAAAAAACCTTGTACACATCAGTCTGTGAAGACTAGCCCATCAGTAAAGCACATACTAAAGAGGAATTTAGGCAGGAGAAAAGAAAACCAATTTTTTTTAAAAAAGAAAATGTAAATCCCCCCCCCCCATTGCAATTCAGACTGAATAAGCATCTTTTAATATATATATTTATATATGTTGGCCAGTTTCACAAGTACATGATAAATGTGCTACAACAGTTTGACAATGATTCAGACACAAACCGGAAAAACCTAACTGGACAGCTCAGCGCAGGGACATGCCAGGATTGATGGCTGCAGAAATGAGCAGTAAACTGCGTCAAATCTACTAGAGCTCGGGTTCACAGATGAAAATAAATTAAAAGTTTGTATTACAGGCTCCTATTTTCCTCGCCAGGCTGATTTGCGAGCGGCTGAATAAATGTGGCCGCTTTATTTCCAAGCGAGACCAAAGCAGCAGTGTTCCCCTCCCTTCCCCCACCCCACCTCAATCCAATTTCATGCCTTGAAGTTGGCAACCGACCCGGTGATATTCATCCCCTTTTGGCAGTTAGAGGGCGCTACACAATAAACACCTCCTCTTTGCTACGACGGCTTCAAGTTTCTTTTTTTTCAAAAAAAAAGGGAAAGGAAATATGATCAGCGGAAAAACATTCCCGTCGTTCTGAGGTTTCAAGTGGAAGGGCCAACTTCCCAGAAGCGCAGTGTGACTCACAAAACACTCACTCGGTGTATGCTACGCTCTCAATCCTGCCTACACTATCTGGAAACTATGAAAGAACCACCCCTACTACTGAGGGCTACAGATCCTTCCTAGTAAATGTGAACCCACGCGACAGGACTGATTGTGCACATTTCAGTTTTAATAACAATAATAATCCTTGCATTTCATACAGCGCCTGATCTCGTCTTCGAGACGTCTCAAAGCGCTCCACAGGATATACTGTAGTGAAATGACTGTATATCTCGGGGGTGAAACGCGGCAGCCAATTGCGCACGGCAATTTTTTTTCTCTCTCTCCCCAATTGCACCATCCCATATACGATGCAATTGTTTCAGCTATTATTAAAACCGGTTTGAGCATCCTGCAGTTCAGTGGACTTGGGACTGTGCCGAGAACCACCATCCACACTGGATTCACCCACACAGCATATCCTCCCGTTCGCATTGTGCCAACCATGGTCTAGATTCACATGTTAAAAGTCTACTCGGACAGGGCATAAGGAACACAAACAACTGCCCCGCTGAACCATACCACAGCTTGGGGGGTGGGAGTTGGAGGAGGTAGACAGCTTCCTAACTTTGCCTCAAAAGTTCGCTTCATGTAGGTCAGTCACATTGCATGAAAGCTCACAGGAATCTCGCTACAGCACATTGCGAAATGCAATCACACATCAGGCACTGTATCACACACCAGGGACGATGTCAAACAAACATCCCTGGTTTTTCAGGTTGAAGAATTTCACATACCATAATCGGAAAATGCACCCCGGGGGTATGAACACACTTTTCTAACCAACGCCCAGTCAAAATATCACACCCGGGATCGAGACTAAAGCTTCCTTACACTCTTCCAGCAACTTGGCTGCAGGTCCCACCTCACTCTGCAATGATAGCATTCCCATTTAGTACACTGGACACCAATCTGGGCCTGGGGGAGTGAGGCTGCTAAGTGGTGCCATTTACTAGGAAATGGTGGAATTCAAACTTATTTCACCCACGGAGAAGAGAGAAGTCCATCCCACCAGCCAGGAAAAAGCCAACATTCAAACTTGTTGAGCCAGTTTCCATCTAACCAATTTACTCTCAATTGTGTTCGTAGTCATTCCGAGTGAATGGAAAGCTCTATACAGACACGACTGTATTTTTAAATGGCAAACTCATCACCCGGAATTCTTTAAAAAGGAAATGGCATACATATACGCTTGTTAAATTTGACGAACTCCAAACAAAATCATTCTGGAGTTACCGTAGCCCCCTGACAACTCGACTCGGTGTTAACTTGTCACCACCAGATCATGCGGTAAAAATCTCGGCCACATTTATTTAGGTATTTATATACACTGAACCCTTTTCCCTTGGGAGTGACGAGTTATCAGGAGGTTCACCGCACTACAATTTAGAAAGCGTCGCTAATATTCAATGACACTTTGGCTACAACTACGTTTGCTTATTGCTGCAGAAATGTCAAAGGAAGCCATATTTACAGAAAAGTGCACATGAAATGGCAGTAAAGTCACCCACCGGAGAGAGCAGCAGGACTGCAGAGGAGGCAAGATAAACACACAAGTTACAAGAAATTCACCCTACAGGTCAGCTATCTCGGCTTGGTTAATAAGCAGTTGGGCCCATACTCTTCATCCATCCAGTCTGCCTCGAAGTTAACGCGAGCAACACAGTGTACATACATCCATGCGTGACAGACTCCTATCTACCTGTCAGGTTTTGACTGATCCCAATGTTTTTCTTTGTTTTTTTTAAAAAAAAATCAAAAGCGCACACTACCAAAAACTGTTGTGAGAGAAAAATAAATAAGAATGCCACCTTCCTCGGGTTCCACGTTCCTGTGTCAGCTGTCCAGTTAGGTAACAACAATGCAGTTTTAATGGAAAAAAAAAGATGTCACAAATACTGGAATTGTAGGCAAGTTCATTCTGGTAACCTTTCTCTCGCTCGCTCTCTCGCTAACCTGAGTTGAAGCATTAAAAAGTTGCATGTCTCATAAAAACAAAGAAAAAAAACCATTCACAGTTAAAAAAAAATCAACTTAAACCAGTGGACACATTTAAATCAAGTGCCCATACTCTTTGGTGGTAGGGCCTCTGTGGTTTAAGTTAGCTTGTCTACTCCATCTTTCCCCCTCAAAGTCAAGCTGAATGTTTTTATTTTTTTTATAAATACAACAAAATACATATTCACAGCAATAAAGGCCTCTTATGATGTCCTTTTCTAGGAACTGTTCCAATGACCTGGAAATATAATATCTTGATTAAGAGACAGTCCAAACAGTTACTAGATGGGAGTGCAAGGAGCCTTTAGAATGCACTATTAGGAAGAAAGGACTACTTTACTGTGCATCGACTAATTAACTGCACACCGTTTTAATTGATTACAATCCATATGTAAATTAAACTGCAAGTTGTATTTAGCTTTTTCTCCCAACCCATCAAAACATTTGTAAAACATACATCTTATAGCTAATAGTGCCCCCCTCCCCCTGTCTCAAAAATTAGAAGTTAGTTATTATTCAATGACTTATTAGGATCGAATCTCCAGTCACAAGAATTATTTTATTTATTTATTTATTTTTAAAAGGGAGAAAAAAAAGCCCACAAAACGAACACTAGGCAAAAGGGTCGCTTGCTCACCGAGTGTTATGTACCCCCTATTTATCACCCAGACTCCGTTTCCTTCAGCCACAGGCTGCTAGATATAAGCAATGGGAAGAATTGCGTTCACCTCTGGTAGAGTTTATAGTTTTCTGAGTTGTACATTGCTCAGGGTGGTTCCCTCCTCTCTCCCAGCCCTCAGAAAGAAATAACCCCCCCCCCCCCATTCCGCAAAGGTCGATCTATCTATCTATCTATCTATCTATCTATCTATCTATCTATCTATCTATCTATCTATCTATCTATCTATCTATCTATCTATCTATCTATCTATCTATCTATCTATCTATCTATCTATCTATCTATCTATCTATCTATCTATCTATCTATCTATCTATCTATCTATCTATCTATCTATCTATCTATCTATCTATCTATCTATCTATCTATCCGCCCCACCCCCCTCCCCACCCCCACTTCAATTATTATTATTGTTAAAAATTCTGGTCACCAATTCAATACAACCAAGTCATACCATTAGTCATGCCTTTTCCTCTCCATGACACTTTTCAGTGCTGTACTAATGCATTAAATCACATTTAAAACACTCAGCGCTAGGGCTGCAGGTTGAAAGACTACAGCGTTTCAAACATGACTCACAAGGCACAAAGCCACACAGCAAGAAATGGACCATTTATTTCTCCTTCCGCTCCTCCCAACCCCCCACCCCACAAAAATATCATAGAAACCCAGATTGAAATCCGACCATGTGTAAATTCACCTTACATTCCCAGTCAGTTGTAGACAAATTAAGCTCATTCCAGCGATAAGAGCGGGTCCTTTCTAGACAGTGGAGGAGGTGCATTCAGTTCTCTTACACCAAACTAGGTTCCACCTGAAATGCTATTAAAAGTTCCCGATCAGATTGAAAATTGGACACGCTTTTTCTTTTCGTAGAATGATGGCCCCTGGTTTGAAATAGGTCAGCAACAAATGATCAGCTTTAAATAAACCCCCAAAGGTTTATATTAAAAAGCCTGGGGAGGAAAACAATGCAGCACACACATCCCTAACCAGCACATCTGACGCTCTTAAACAAAAGCAACCTTGTAATATCATCTAAAATCTTTCTTGTGTTTATAATTTTTTGCAAAAAATTTTCCCCAATTAAAATTCAATCCAAACAAATGCTTTTAAGCCACATTCAGGTTCCAGTTAGATTCTTTAGGGCCCTGATAAGTGACACAGACTCTGTGTAAAAGAAGAAAAAGTATGAAATAAAACACTCCTTTTTAGTAGACAAGGGCAGCAAAAGCATTTGCTCTCCAGTTCAAGTCAAACAGTCACCAAATGTCCACCAGTGTGTAGCAGTGACCAAGTTTTAAAACCGGTGCCTTTTATTCTCTTTTAAAACAGGATTGTAGTTCTCAATTTTAAAAAAAAGTTATTGCGAAGTTCTAACAGTATAAATGCACCAACTTAATCAGTGCTTTATAATTTTTTTTTGTTTTGTTTTCTTTTTTAAAACAGTAGCTCCCGAACCAGTTTTTAAATTTGTCTTCCTTGTTACACAAAAAGCATCTATTCCAGGTCAGGTGGCTTAGGCCAGTCTCACTCAGCTTCAGCCACGTCAATGGTTAAAATTCATAATCTTCATCTGCCATATCTATGGCCCATGCAAACTTCTCTCGCTGGGTTTTGTTGTAGATCTTTTCAGTTTGGATGTCCCACTTCTTACACCTGAAAGGAAAAAAAAACCTGTTAGAATGAACATTCACAGTGAACGTTGCAAGGAGTGACACCGCAACACATACGTACGGTACTTATTCTGAAGGTGCCCATTTCATGTCACTTAAAAGTTTGTAAGCTTAAAGATTGTCAATTTACATTGACAAGACACCATTCTTCCCTTAATTCCTTACTTCCCTGTTAATCTGTACTGTACTGGACATGAACAAAAAAGCAACACCACACAAGACTCCACAGGAATTTCATAGAATCGTAGAATATTCTTTGGAAGAGCTACCCAATCAGTCCTACTCTACGCTTATTCCCCCATAATCCTGCAAATTTTTCCTTTTCAATTCCCTTTTGAAAGTTGTTATTGAATCTGTTTCCAACACTCCTTTCAGGCATCGCATTCCAGACCGTAACAACTTAAGTGTGTAAAAAAAATTCTCACCTCCCCCTCTGGTTCTTTGAGGGCAAATACAGCACAATGTGTAGACTTACCATGCAATGCTGATCCTAGGGTCCAAGTAATTGAGTTTGGAAGTACCAAGGGCTATTTGCTTATTCTCTTCCCGGTCTGTGGCCTGTACTTCCAGTTTCATTAGTTGTTCCTCAACCCTTTGGAGAGCTTTCTTCTTACTTTCCACAGATCTGGGTTAAAAAAAAGCATTAGTACGCCTTTAACACAGCTGCACCCTTTAATTCTCCCCAGAATCTCTCCTCATAAACTTCATCCAAAGGCAAGCTTTATGGGAACTCTCGGCTTTTAAAAAAATACTGAAACGCAAAGAACAGAATAGCATAACTTGGTGAAAACAAGTAGAATCTCACGCCTCAGAGAAACTGCTGGCGAGGTCCTTCGCTACAGTTAAGATGTATTCCCAATCAAGCTCATGTGTCTAGCTTAACGTAATTTACACACATTTAGTAACTTGAGTGCGGCACAAACAGTGATACTGAGAATAATGAATCAACACTGGAAATAAGTTATTGATTAAATCCTCCCACCCCATCCCAATACCGTGGCTCTTTTTGTATCCAGTTCTGCAAAATCCAGACACCTGAGGATTTCTTTGACTAAGTGTCCATTCACGTGAGAACCTGGACACCACCACCCCTCCCCCATGCTTGGGCCCCGACAGCTGACTGTTCAGCGCTTTGGGACATCCTCCCGACATGAAAGGCACTCTATAAATGTAATTTTGTTGTTGTCTTTGTTGGACAGGGAATGTTGGCTAAATATATGGGATGGGAAGAAGGCGGAGGGAAGGGAAAAGGGGAATATAGACTTTCATACAAGTACACTCTTCTGTAGTGTCTCTCAGTAGTGGAAAGAAGCAGGAACACGGACATGGCGGATTCTCTGCATCCCCTCAGCCCAAGTCATCAGGACAATTGCAGCATCAAACTCAGCACAGAACAGAGAGAACCTGGGACATCTTCCTGATCTGTTTGACAGTCTGATAGTGTTAAGCAGCTTTACATACTGATCAATCAGAGCAGTTAAATCCAACACAAACCACATACTTCCTAGTCTTTTCATCCTTTTTAACTTTGTGGTCAGCCTTGGCACCCTTCAGCTCTCTCCTGGCCATCCCAATTTGGTCTTTCTTTGCATCAATCTGAAACAAAGAGAATTGAATTAAATGTAATTCATTTTTATTTCAATTAATTCAATGGAAACTTGAATCCTTTGGACTGCTAGAGAATAAGCTGTGGTCTATATGTCCACGCACCTTGGTTTGGAGGTTCTGCATGGATTTCTCAAAGGTTTTTGGGGGTGCTCTTTGATGGTTACAAAGGATGGCAACTGCTCTATTGGCACGGTTGTAGGAGAGGATTTTTGCCGCCACGTTTTCATCAGCTGTAAATACAAAGCGACATAAACCATCAGTCAGCCTCTGCACTGCCATACACAAATTCAGTATAATAGGGCCACAGAACCTCACAGGACATGTCACCAGGTTCCTCCTCTCCTGTTGGTGAGTTACACTCGGGCACCAGGTCCGATAAGTCTTCAGCGCAAATCCATAAAAAAAAATCTACATTCCAATTAGGGTCATTGGGAGTCCTTTATAACAGCGCCTTGGGGCGTCCGCCCACCGTGAAAGGCACTCTACAAATATAGTTTTGTTATTGTTCTATAGTGCCTTTCACGTCAAGGTACTGGATATTCAGGGATTCAGGGACGGCAGGGATAGGAGGGTGGGTGAAGGCGCAGTCGAGGAGAAAGGTCTTGAGACGTGCCTTCAAGAAGGCAAGGGAGGGAGCAAGACAAAGGAGACCAAACCAGTCGAGATCCCAGACCAATCTCGCTTACTCTGTACGGCTCAGCTCCACAAGTGGTGGATTTGTGCCTCAAGCTAATAGTCAGCGGAATGGCTCACAGCATGGAAAGTGAGAGAAACTGGTCGTACAAGGGGATGGGGGGGGGGGGAAACACGCCGACAGTATTGCTGTTATTACTCACGGTTTGTGAGCTCCTTCAGCTGCTGCTGCAGTGTGATGGATGCGTTGTAGGTACGGAACACTTTGGCTGTAAGCCCATCCATTAGCTCTTGGAGATGCTTGTTCAGGATCGAAGTCTGAAAACATAAAACAAAATAAAACCAACTCCGTGACAAATTTGTACTATATCCAACCGCTCTTCCACCGTGCCTTTGGTCTCCCTCCCACCTCTCTGCCTTCCCTCACCCCTACCCCACCCCTCCCCCATGCCCAGGCCCCGACATCTGACTGTTCAGCGCTTTGGGACATCCTCCCGACGTGAAAGGCACTCTATAAATGTAATTTTGTTGTTGCTGTTGTGGACTGAAGGCCCAGTGCACAAACAACCCTTAAAAACCAGTAAATCAATCTATGGACTTCTTGTAGTACAATGCATTCCCGTTTCCCACTGCTCCTACTTACATTCAGTCGGTCAAAAAGGTCATCTTCAGGTTGCTTGTTTTCCATAAATAGCTGAAGATTCTTAAACACCTGATGATTGGAGGGAATGAAAGAATAAGCCACCGGAACATGATGGAAACACAACACATCCCCTTTAAAAAGATCACTGCTCTTTACAGCTGGACAGCCAGCAATGCTGGAAAAGGGGAACGTGCACATATGGAAAAGATCATCAAAGCAAGGTTTTAAGGTGTGCTGACCTCCAGAGGTGGGTCTAGCTCCATGTAATAAATTGTCTCCCTGCAGGATTTGCCTTTCAGAAAGCTAAGAGCACAGGCCAGGCCTCCTGCACGCTGTGCATTTCCAGCCAAATACTGCCGTGAGAGCTAATTAAGTACAGACTGTACTATGTGCTTCAGAACAGAGTGTACTGCAGACACAGTAAACAAGAGATGAAAGGCAAACCCTTGGGGCTCTCCGATACTCTGGTTAAAGAGATTAACAGCACTGGACAGAGTCAGCAGAGCAGCCAATCTAGCAGTCACCAGGACAGGAACTACAGCGTGAAGGTGGGATGTAAAGTCAGGTAACACACGTGTGTTGTCAGAAGTTTTATCAAGTGTGAGGAGATTTATCAAGTGTGAAAAAACATAATAAATGTGTTGCCGGGATTGGAGCTTGGAACTGGTACAGGTGAGCTTTACCCACACACATCTCCACACAAAGCTAAACTGAAACTAGTGTTGGATGTACTGTAGTCACTGCAGCTTGGACTACCTGCTACTGATTGTGTCAGCTCCAGTTTACTGAAGTATCTCAGCAGAGCAGACCACCCAGTCTGCTCCGGCACTGAAGTGACTGGAGCCCCCACTAAAGCCTTTAAACCAGTGGATAACCTTATTAGTCAGCCAACCAAACCAATGCCTTTATTGAATTGTTTCCTTCATTAATGGCCATGCCATGAGTATCGTAGGTTTGGTAGCTACTGGAGACAAGGTATTGACCGGGCGGGACTGGTGGCCACTTCTCGAATATCCAAGGAGTCGTTAGCCTGGTTGGAGACCCCTGTTTTGAACTGTTAACGCAGAGCGTGGGGGCGTTTCACAAAACTCAAAAGCCTCACCCTTTTTTCCACTGGTACTTTGTTGTAATACCGGATGGAGTCTTTACCCAGGAAGTCAAATTCTACCATGTACTCCTGGCCATCGAGTTCCGTGTGTAGCTTGATGTGTTCCACTCGCAGAGAGCAGCAACCAACAGTGTCGGCGGTCTCCCCCTCTTCCTTCTCGTTTCCAGCTCTCAAGGCTAGCTACGTTGGAGAGAGAATCGAGAGTCACAGTGAATTGTCTGAGCAGCTACAGTACAGGGAGCCAGCAGACGGTCACTGGGCTAAAGGTGTCAACATTTACACTCGAGTCAGGAAGAAACAATTGCCACTTCTGACACAGCTCCCGCCTCCACCCAATGGAAAATGCTATGTTTAGATCAAGTAAGGATAAGCCCCGAGCTTTAGTTTACTGCCGCTCCTTTGCTTAACACTCACTGTCTGGGATGACATGAAAAATCACCACTTGGGCAAAATACAAAAAAGAAATGTAGGAGATTCAAATGAAGCGTGGAAAAGGAGGGAAATTAATTATTGCTTTCTTCCATCTCTTCCCGATTGCCAACAGTTTTGAGATTTCTCCATAATTACTAAACTAAATAATTTCCTAACCACAACTCTGAACGAGCAATGCCACTCCGCAGAGTGCAGCTAGACTCAACTGTTGTAGATCTCCAATGCTTGGCTCAGATTAACAGGTGGTGGTTGGGTGAAGGGGGGGGGGAGAGGAAGCTATCTAGATCACACTGCACTATGTGCACTTAACGTTCTGCATCAATGCGGCAGCCTGGCTTGGCTGCTCAGCTTGCAATGATTCTGACACATTACTGCAGTCTGTGTGCACCTCAAGGTCAAACAGCCCATTATCTTTCCCGTTAAAACAAATAAAGCACAGAAACAGTTAACTCTGCGCCAGGCACATTGTCACACAAAAGTCCTTTGTTACAACACATACCTATACGATATCAGGGATAAAACCGGTAACAGAGGATTAAAGCATACAACCCTTTCTCTGCTGGGCGCAGCTTTGAATCTACTAATACAGTGAAAAGTCATGATTGCCAGCAAACTGCAGAACAAGCCTGTTGCCCAGTACAGCGATTAGGTCTCTCACCTTGTCAATAAAGTAAAGTGCCACAGCTCTCTGCCGGACCTTCATCTCCTTCGATTTCCAGTCTTCTCTGTACTGCGCACGGATCTTGTCAACGCACTTCTTCAGCCGCCGAGCAGTTTCATATTTCTGCCAGTCCTTCTCACCCTATCAGTGAAAATAACAGCCGGTTTTCTATGGTGAAGATCACTGTTAGTTTCCACACCTCAAGTTTCTACTGAAGGTGTCATCTACAGCCACAGAATGATCCAGATATCCACTAACTCATTCAGCTTGCTATTCCAGCAGTGCCCCCGGTGGAAAGCCTGGGTAATTTTCCCCAACTGGAGCCCAGGGGGTTCCCACGACCAATACAAACTAGTTTAATTTTTTTTCCCCCCAAGAGAGATAATACCTTAATTCTTGAGCTGGGATTCAGCATGATGTACTTGATGGAGCCCTGGATGTTCTCTGTCCATGAGACCAGCCAAGTCACCTTGTTGTCATGTCGTATCGTCTTCCACTTATGGCCATGTGGAGGTACGGGAACTTTGGAGTCCCTAGGAAAGAGAGAAAGGGGGGGGGGGGAAGACAAGAGGAAGCGAGAGAGGATCAAAAATTAGCACATTGAGCACTGATTCCTCACCTGCTCCCTGCAGTCTTTCTGGGGATCGAAAATACAGATTGCCTTAATAATGAACCACAACATTTATAGCAATTTGCTTACACTGCACGTTCCAGCAGCCCCCCCCTGAGTATCTTCCCAAGTACCTAATCTTTGTACATCGTAGCAAAGTACGATGATCAGAAGTGCACCTCACCACAACCTTGACTGAGTTTACCCACTGCCACACAGGGCAAGGATTGAACATGGCACTTACCTGTCTGTTAGATGCTGCATTTATCCACTGAGGCATTAGGGAGCTCCAGTAATAAACGTCTGTAAACATCTACCTTATCAAACTCCAAACCCTGCATGAACAGTACGCAGACACGACAGGCACCAGCAGCCCCAACCACCCGGCACTGAGATTTTGAAGCAAACGGAGAACTCAAAACGGTCTAAGGTTCGAGAACCTCAGTAAATTCACTGCTGTGCGCAATTGGCCGCCCGCGTTTCGCCCACAAAACGTACCGTCAATTCGTTTCACAGCGTATTCTGTGAAGCGCTTTCAGACTTCTACAAGACACGATGATAAGGCGCTATATTATTTATATCCTTCAAGGCCGGTCTCAAAACCTTTCTCTTTGACTGTGCCTTCAGCTCCCTTCTCGACTCTCTTCCCCCTCCTCGCTCCCTCCCTCCCTTCCCTCCCCTCACCCTGACCATTTCCCCAATGCTCGGGTCCTGACCCAACTGTGCAGCGCCTCGGGACGACCTCCCGACGTGAAAGGCGCTTTATAAATGGAATCTTGTTGTTGTTGTTGTTGTTGTATATTATCAAACGCGAGGATTGTTGTAATAAATGTTAAGAGCTGCAGTACCCATCCTGGACCACCAGGTGGTGCAGCGACAACAGGCAGAATGGGATGATTCAGTGTCCATTTTGACAGTCTGCGGTAACCTTCCCGATCAGGTGTGGACGCTGTTCCGTTGGGTCCCAACAAAGCTGCTCACTGGCACACGTGGGTTTCTGCGCACGTGAGACTTTCAGCTGACCCTCCCCCACCATGCAGGCACCCACAAGCTGACCCCCCCGCTCCACCATCCAACCCCAACCCCCCCCCCCCAACCAAAATAAATCAGAAGCAACTTTAAATAGGTTTCGAACAAGATCGAGGTTGTGGGAATGATCGAGTTGCCCCCTCCCCAGATACTCACTTACTACAGTTGATGATGATGTCCTCTGGCCTGATCCTTCTTTTCAGCATACCCATCTTTGGGTGGTTACCACGGCCACGGAAAAGCCCTGGAGGTTCAATCCTAAAATTAGCAATCCTCTCTTTGTGGTTGTCCATGATGCAGAACCCATATTCTTGAAGAAGCTTCTCATTCTCTTCTTTTAATTTCTATTTTTTTTAAATATAATAAAAAAAAAGAAAAAGCAAGAGTTAAAAAGGAGTCCCCGGTGACAAGGCAGCAACGTTTTAACTGGTTTCTGGTTCGGATGTAGCGCTGGCACAAACCAGTTTCTCCTCTTTGGACATTTGCTTCCGAGCTTCAGACTGATCCTTGAAATGTTGGTTCATCTCTTCAAAGTCGCACTTGTTCAGATCCACTATGGTCGACTTTTCTTCAGGTTTCATTTCCTGAAGGAAATCAAACCAGGAATTAAATGTAGAGCAGGCACGTGGAGGGCAGGCAACGTGTGTGTGTATAGGTGCGTGCGTATGGGCGTGTGTGGGGGTGAAGGGGAACAGCCTTTTATCAAATTTGATTTGATTACCCGAAGATTATTTTTTCCCTACCTTTCGCCAGTCTTTAAAGAAGTTCTTCCTAAAAATATCTTTTGTAGTGTATTCATGATCCAGCATTTTGCCAAAGAAAGTAGCAACCTCTTCGGCCTGAGGGCTCAGCTTCATATGTTTCCCTGGAACACATTTAGACCAGCAGCTGAAAACAGCGAGCCACGGAAACAAACAAGAGTCGGATGCAAAACGACAGGCTTCGCCTGAATCTATTTGAAGTTCTGTGCCATATTAAGCAAAACAGCTATTGCTCTGTTAACAAGCTCCTTCCTCAACAGCTACACGTACAATGCACACGATCCTTTCACCATTGTGTACTTCACACAACTAATGAAGACTAGGGGTCAACAGGTTTTCTTCACCATTCACCAAAGCAGCTCACCTGACTAGGATTAAAGAAATAGCTTCCCGAGAACTGGCAGATCGTATACAGTGGACTGGGCTGAATGGTCTCTGTCTGCTCTGTAAAATTCTACAATTCTTTGACTACCCACCTCAGCCATTTCTTTCTGCAGGGTGTAATATATAGGGTCTGCAAGGAAAACCTCAATCTATCAATCCTCGAGTCCCAGAACGTGTTACATCCGCTTCCGTGAAGTCTCGGAAGTAGTTTCCAGTTTTTCTTTACAAAAAAGCAAGGTTATCTGAAACCACCGGACGCCAAACAGGTGGAGGAGATTGTGAACACCACCTGAAACGACATCCTGTCTATCTGTGACCAGGGCTCCCTATGCCTCCTTGTCCTCCTGGACTTCTCCGTTGCGTTCGACACAGTCGATCACGCCATCCTCCTCCACTGCCTTTCCTCCATCATCCACCTCAGTGGGACCGCACTCGCCTGGTTCGAGTCCTACCTCACAAACCGCCAGCAGTACATCTGCACAAACGGCTTCTCCTCCCGCTCTCACCCGGTTACCTACAGGGTACCCCAAGGATCCATCCTTGGCCCCCTCCTCTTTCTGATCCATATGCTCCCTCTTGGGGATGTCATCCGCAGACATGGGGTACACTTCCACTTGTATGCAGACGACACCCAACTCTATCTTTCCACCTCTCTTTGCGACCTCCAGTCCTCTGATGATCTGTCAGCTGCCTGTCAGATCTCAGGGGCTGGATGAGCGCAAATTTCCTTCAGCTGAACGTTGACAAGATGGAAGCCATACTCTTTGGCTCTCGTCAATGTCTAAAATCTCACAGCTCACCTCCTCCACCTACCTGACCTCCCCCTAAAACTCCCCAAACCTGTATGCAACCTAGGCGTCAGGTTCGACCCCCAATTATCCTTCCTCCCCCACATCCAGTCCCTCACCAGCACTGTCTTCTTCCACCTCCGACGCATCACCCACCTCCGCCAATACCTCTCCCCGAAAGCCGCTGAAACCCTGGTCCATGCCTTTGTCATCTGCTGGCTGGACTACTCTAACGCCCTCCTCGCCGGTCTCCCATCGACTACCATCCATAAAATCCAAATCATTCAAAACTCTGCCGCCCGCATTCTCACCCGCACTAAACTCCGCTCCCCGATCACCCCAGTCCTTGTCAGACTGCCTATCCCAAAGAGGATCGATTTCAAGATCCTCACCCTTGTATTCAAATCCCTCCACTCTTCTGCACCTCCCGACCTCTCTGACCTCTCTCCTCAAAACAGTACCCGTTGCCTTCGTTCCTCCGGGTCTGGCCTCATCCTCGGCCCCCAAGTCCTCCGCTCCACCCTCGGCGGCCGTGCCTTCAGCCACTATGCCCCGAGGCTCTGGAATTCCCTTCCTCACTCCCTTTGTCTCGCCCCCTCTCTTCCTATTTTCAGGTCTCTGCTGAAGACCTTTCTTTTTGACTGCGCCTTTGGTCACCTTCGTCCCCAATTGGTGCCGGGATCCGTTACTGTGAAGCGCTCTGAGATGCCGTCCAGGTGGAGGGCGCTATATAAATCCAAGTTGTTGTTGTTGAAAGTTACAAGAACTGACGGTGTTTCTGCTGATAATCCTAGCTTGGGGGACCGAACCACAGAGCTGCCTACATGAAGTTACTGGGTATGAGAGTTAATGAAGAAAAAAAATCATAAAATACATTAATGACAAGTTTCCGACGTTAAAAAANTGTATAAATTTCTAAAAGAATGCGATTAAATAAGCCCCCGCTGAGAGGGTGGAATCTATGAAGCTGGTTAATAGTCAACGTGCAAAGAAATCCTCCATTTCCTAGAGGCAGACACACAACTCCTACTCCACGTGTGCTGGGTTTTATTTTGGGGGTTTAGCGATAGAGAAGAGAAAAACCCACAGATTGAAGGGGTGGCCTGTTGAACCGGCCACACAAACACGCAGATCACAAACCAACTGATTAAAAAAGCTGACTCAACCATATTACAGCAACTCCCACACTCCCTGCTCGCTGAACTGAGTCACTCACCTTATCAAGGCCTTTGCTTGAAAGCAATGTGCAAGTTTAAAAAAGTTTAAGAAGCAGGCATACTCCCGATAGAGGTGGTGGTATATTCTTCAAATCCATCAATCCCCCCCACCTCTCTCCCAAAAAACCTCCAGAGAACTTGCAGGCAAGAACCGGACCAGATGATTTGCTTTCTTTTCTCCTCCCCTCGGCTCATGCTAACGTAGGTTCCAGCAGCCATTCTTGCTTTCGCAAACCTATTGACATTAAAGCCAAGACCCATTGTGCCTTCTTTTGCATGCGACTTCGCAGCACGAATAACCAGGAGGGATACCTGTCTGATTCTCCCCCTATTTCACCCGAGATTACGTCACTGAACGCACACTTGGACCTTCCTCGTCCGTGTCATTTGATTTTACGCTAGGCAACTGTTCTATCCATATCCACTAAGCCATCGAGGAGGCACAGATCATAGATTTAGATGACCCACTAACGCACTGGAGCAAACAAATCGATTTCCCTGCACAGAAATCGGGCTGTTCACAAAAACGCAAAGGGCCAACAAACCTGACACAGCAAATGCTATTTCCACCTGTCTGATCAAACCCAGTAAACAGGAACCAGAAACTGAGGAGCTAAGAGTTAGCTAAGAGGAACAGGCTGTTGTAATCCCACTTTAGAAAACTCCTGCAGAGTTTAGAGTCGTTACTTGATTACTTAACACTGGTTAGATCGGTAGCATTTGATGGAATCCATCTGTGCTGCCAGCATTATACATCAGAATGTACACAACAATTAGCAAAAGTTCGAGTGCACTTTTGAGTTAAAACATGGGCAGCTAGCAGATTTGCTGCTTCCAACAGATCATCACAAATAAGCACTCAATATCAACCACGTCATGACAACCATAGAATGACGACAACTTTATTACTCAGTCAAGTTGGCAAAGGAATTTGGTCCTACCCAGTTCAACTTTATGACTGAATTAAGCTAATAAAGTAATCCCATGATATTCAGAATCGTCACTGTTCAGCTAACTTTGGACTATTTACATACAAGACCGGTTTACTCAATCTACAATTACCACAAAAGATTTGTCCAGGGCACATCTCAGGTTGGCTACTTATCAGACACTAAAGCATGTTAGAAACCTTAGGCTTCTCCGCCATTTCATCAGAGATGACAGCACTACATCTTCACACTTTATCTCTATTCTGCTCCAATCCTTTGGAACTGCATCTCAGTCCCTTCGCCTCACTCCTTCCCTTGCCTCCTTCAAAGCATGTCTCAAGAACCTACTCTTTTCGACCGCACCTTAGACCGCCTTCCACCCCTCCCGATTCCAAACCCCTGCTCAGGTCCAAATCCCTGACTGTCCAGCGCCTTGAGACGTCCTCCCGACGTGAATGACGCTGTGCAAATTTAATTTATTGTTGCTGTTGTTATATAATGGAAGCACAACAGTCTGTAAAATCAGCAGCCTCAAAGGATGCAATAATTAAAATGGAAACCTAGGCAGAGAGGAGCAAGGCTGGCGATATCTGGGAAGAAATCCCTGCTGGTCCAGCCTCATCTCTCCCTATAAACTAACCATTCATTTCAAACCAGTCAAACTCTGAAGTAATTGCATTTAAAGAATGCATCTCACAACCAATATCCTGGGGGGGTGGGGAGAAATAACCATCATAAAACTTCTAAATCATATGCGTTGACAATCAGAACACAACCTTCACACTTCAAATCAATCTGTAAACATGACAATCTGGAGGAGAACTTTCTTTTGTTGCTTTCGTTCCAGGCGTTTCTTACCATCGTAATAGAATTTAACCTTGTCGGGAAGCGGGATGTAGGGCGGAGCAAACACCGGGCCTTTGTGCTCCAAAAACTTCCACTTCACACCATCAGTGTAGCGCTCTTCCTCCCACCTGAAGCAAACAAACAATGAGATCGCTCGGTTGGAGTTCTCAGCAATACAACAGATACATCAAAACCAAGTCTCCCGAACTGCAATACACAGAAACACAAGACAGGGAAACACATGTAGTCAAAGCCTCCTGCCCACAATACCCACCTGAATACGTAAATTCAAAAGGGAGAAGGGAATAGAGAGGTATGTAAAGGAGGAGTGGGGGGCTCCTGTGGAGTATAAACACCACCAAGCACTAGCTGGGCTCACACACACAAGCTAGGATTCCTGGTACGGACTCGAGCCCAGATTGAGCTCAAGCAAATAACAATTGTGCTGCTCTGTAACCAGCTGACAATAGCTATTCCTCCTTTGGATATTTTTACAGTTCATTAAATACGTTAAACAAAGTGCGTCATCATTTCAGTGTCTTACTTATAACCTGGTGTTCTATTTACAAAGGAAATTGATGCTGATTTCTGTTGTCCCGAGCTGTGGTTGATCAGTCTGCTGAGAAGAGCTTTTCTGGCTCTGTCCCACCAGCCACAACACTGTGGACCACAGTGCACCACAGGTGGGTGCAGCAAGGACAGGAAGCGCGTAGAAAGTAAAGTCTTCAAATTCAGACCTTAGCGCAATAAAAGCGCACCACGCAGAGCTCTTAAACCCAGAAAAAGAGGCAAAGAGGTTTTTTTTCCTGAGGATACTGATTGGAGCCATCGCTTAGCAGTGCATACTTCAATTAATTGACTTTAAATTCCAGTATTCATGGGCTTTGATCACTAATGTGTAATATTTTACAAAGTTAATAGACACAGAAAGTCACAAGTCTCAGCCACTGCAGATAACGAGTGCATTTTATTCCAACATATTCTAAAGAGGACTGCTCAAATGGTGGTCCAAATAGAAACTAGCTGAAGAAATGCATTCAATTTGGTTTTAATTTTAGAAGTACCGGAAATAGAGAAATGCAGTCTATGCTAGTAAAACTCCGATAGCTACTGACGGGTTGAGAGCCACAATATTGTTTAGTGAATGTTCTTTTGGGCCACGGGATCACAGGCCCATCTTGAAATAATTAAGTTGATAGAGACTGAGCACGAACGAATGAGATATCACGGGGCCAAGTTAGACACAGCAGCCAGTGCCTGATGCAACCTTTATCTCCCACACAAGGCTGTTTATCAAAGCAGCAGAAGGCATTATTACAGAGATGACAATTTCCCTTTCTCAATGCTCTTCATAACATGCCAACCTCACATAATCCAGGGGCAACCAGTACTGAACAAAGCAAGGTTGGGACATCATCACATGCAGTTCATTTACCAGCCTTGAAAGGTTTCTAGCCGGCTGTTCAACTGATAAATAGAATGTTACAAACCCCCCATATCTCTTCTTCACCCCCTCCCTCCTAAAAACAAATAATACATGCATTTTCCGGGGTGTTGAGCCGATGCAATAAAAGATTTGAAAGGCAGGAAACAATTATGTATGTTTTTAAAAAAAAGAGGTCAGATTATATGGTTACATTAAAGCACTGTGCCAAAGGTCAGACCTGTTAAAAGGAGTTTCCATGCCTGAGGAAAGAGGGCAGAATAGCACATTATCCCAAGCAGTGTGTGAGCAAGGGGGCAAATAAACAGACTCGTTATCGAGAACCCAAGGACCAGAATTTCCTGAAATTCTTACCATTTCCATTTATCCTCCTCTTCCTTCTTTTTCTTCTTTTTCCCAGCTCCATCAGCTTGTCCTTTCATTTTGCCCTTTTTGCTCTTGGTGACCTAACGAGGCGAGTGGAGACAAGCGATGAATAAGTCTTGTTTATAATAGAAGAGCCTAGCCCACCCAGAGGCAGAGAAGTACTGACGGCACAGTGCGTAAAGAGTACAGTCGAGTGCAACACACGGTGAGGACCGCAGGACTATGGTAAATTAGCTAATCTGGAGCCCTGTACAGGAAAAAATAACCTGGGTTCTCATTGCACATTCAAGTGTACATCCGGTGAGGCTCAACCCAGCTTCAGGGGAAAAGCTTATCACAGGTTGTCATGATTCAGTCATAATGGCCACTTGAAGAGGATGACATGGAATGTAGAGGTATCCTGGATGCTAAATAGGATTGAGAAAGTAAACCCGCAACCAATACTCAGGTATACAAAGGCCGAAAGCACACAATGTGAAAAATCAGTCATTTATTAACGGGTTAAAATACAAGCGGTAAGAATATTTGACCAGAAACAAGCCTGGTAAATTGGCAGTCAGGCATTTACATAAACTGTGATTGCTCTTTAAAGGGGGACCCCATCTCATACTAAAATAATACTTTTTAATAAGTTTCAAAGGCTAGCTCTACACCCTACTCCTAAGTCTGAAATTCCCTGCTCCACATTTGGGTCACAGAGAAAATTTACTGGCAATTATTATGCTGCCTGAGATTTGCCACAAGGAGTACAAAAACTCTTAATTGCTGGTGAGAGGGATATAAAAATAGGAAACTACAGAGTTTTCAGTGGAGCACGAATGCCTTCCTGCCTCTGTGCAGTACTGTTTGTTTAAAGGGGCCTCGCTTTATTTATAATAAACCCTGCACATTTCCAAGCAAACTGCAAATAGACATGGAAAATTGGATCTGATAAACGTAGGATGCAACACGGAAACAGATCCTCCCATTTTGAATAGATATATACTGAGGCTGATCACACATCACGAAAGAGATCAGCAAAGATTTTCCTGTTAAGCAAAATAGAAAGCTATACCATCACAGTAAAATCATTTGGAACTAAATCACCCCAGAGAAGAGAACTGCCTGGTTTTACTTTAGATGAGGTCAGATTAAGGACTTTCATACACAAATACAAAGATTTACTTTTATATGGATTTTAAAAAAATATTAGTTTTCAGTTATATGACAGCAAATTCTGAGACCACAAAGCAAATTGTTAGAAGGGAGAAAATGACCTTAAAGTGCGTTAAATTTATTTATCTAAATTTATTCATCATTTAAGACTAGCCAGAATGGTGGAAAAATCTTAATGTGGAAACTGGATTGACAAATTGGTCTTAGATGCTAAGACTAGTTAGGTAGAATTTCTGGCCTCTGACACTGTCTCTCACCAAATTCTGATCAAAGGAATTTCCTTAAACTAGGAACATTTGAGTGGCAAATAGCAGTGTTGCCCTGACCATCCCCAATAAGCTTAAGCAGATACCCAGAACACATGCGGGATGCTTACCTCCTCGGCTTTTCGCTTTTTGGTTCTCTTTTCATCCTCAATTTTGGGCTTCTTGGGTTTAAAATCCACACTGGGGTAATAAAGACACACAGATTACCATCAGAGCCTATGTTGCATGTTTCAGTTAAACCTGCTCTCCCCTACACTGGAGGCAGAACTCCCGTGCAGCAGTTATTTGTCACGCTGTTCTCTGAAAATCTTATGCAAAATCCTTTTGCCTTTTCCCAGCAATGAAACCATCTTAATTCCATTGCCTTCTCTCCCTACTCGGAGGTCCCCATAATGTTTATGCCTCACTTTTAACCTACATGAAAGATGATGGTGATAATAATCCTTACATTCGATATAGCTCCCAACAAGTTGTTGAAACAGCTTGAAGTATTCTGCATAATGTTTGTTGATTTTGAGGTGTAGTGACTGTGCTTGTAATTGAACGTTCCTACGCTATACAAGTGTAATTTGTTGAATCAAAGAAGCAGATAAATTCACAATATTTGCAGCTAGTTTCTGTTGGTTCAGCAGTGCCATAGTTAACAGAAATGTATGTGGCTGCAAGCACTGTTAACACCAGCCACAGCCTAAACAATGCTGAAGTTTACTCCAAGCATAAAACAGCTACTTGAGCTTTAAAGAATGGAAGCATTGTTTAGTCAGTCAGAATGGAGAAGGCTCTTTAATGTTGGGTTTGCTTTTAAATGATGGATGTGGTGCTGCTCTTCTCCCACTTTGTTCAGCTTCCTCTCACCTCTGGGGTACGTAGCGCAGAAGAAGGAAAGAGGAGAAAGTCGCAAACGTCAGTGACCAGGTTTTAGAGCTGTAGCTGCCGGTATTCCTCTGAATGGATTTTTATTGTCAAGTGAATTGGCCGTTTGTAAGTACAGTTAATAGCATGGCTTCTCTCGCTGAAACACCGCAAACTACTTGACCGAATTAATTACTAGAAATGACAAGGAGGTAGGTTAACACAGCAACTAATCTGCAATGCCTCACAGCCAGTGATGAGGTAAACGGCCAAATGTAATCTATCATTAAAGCTTCAATGCGGAAACGTTTTTAATGTCGCACATCCACACGAGGATTTGCTCAGAGGCAGCTCCAGCCAACACCAGCATCAGCTCAGTACATACAAATCACCTGACAGCCAGCTAGAAGTACAAAGCTGAGTGTTGTAATATGATAACTGGCTCCGTTTCCGCTGTTCCAGCTGTCTGGGCAGAGTGTAACACTGCAACCTTCAACCAAAGCTACACGGAAGCTGCTGCCCATATGGCCTGGGACCAGCAGTGGAATTTAGAAAGAAGCCAAGTGTCTGAGTGGACCTGCCCAAACCGAAGCCACATACTACTACCTGGGCAATTTTTTTTTAAACACACGCACACATACCCCAAACATCTGGAGAAAGGGCACATTCAATGGATGTCAAGGGACGACCACCAAGATTGAAGAGGTAGCTTTGAGGGAAGAGAGGTTCTATTAGTCACGTTGGTAAGGCTTTGGAGAGTACCTTGGGGGTATTGCTGGAGTTTAACCAGCTAAAACAGCAGAGCTTGCCATTGGGAGCACTGTTTGGCAAGTTTCTCACAAGCTTCTGACTCAGGCGAAAGGGCTACACATTGAGCCGGACACTTAAAAGAGAGACAACAATGATCAGAGTGACCACGTCTATCAGAAACTCCATCAGTTTTTGAACACAGTGCTGGGAGTAGGACAAAACGGACATGGACAATCAATAACTGTTGAGCAGCTTGTATTATTATTTTAAAAATAAGTAAACTTACTCGTCGTCGATTCGTGCTCTTTTCGTAGGCTTGTTTTCCACCTTAACAGATGGCAGATACTCATCATCAACCTCTTGTTTTATACGAGGTGGACTGAAAGGAAAGAGGAATGGGATGGATGGGGGGGGGGAGGAAATAAAAATACAAATTTAAATTTTTGGTTCCACGGCTTATCGTATATCATGAGCACCCTAAAGTGGAGTAGTCTGACCGGTAGACTTTCCTTCTTCGATTTTGCCTACGGTCACCTGCCCCAGGCTTGGCATTGTGCTCTGTCACTGTCAAGCGCCCTGGAACGCTAGCCTGCGTGAAGGACGCTATATATGCAAGTCGTTGTTGTTCTATCCATATCCCCCGAGTGTCTACAGTTCTGATGAAGGGTCACACCCAACCTATCTTTCTTTCTGTTTCAGGTGCTGACCGACTAGCTTGCACGTTCATTGTCTTTGCTCCTAGTTCTTTCAAAGCCCCCAAATCCATTTAACCCCCGACTGAGCTCAGAGACTATCACACAAAGTGCACTGGCTTCAGAGTGGATAGAACCAACAACACGTCACCGTTCACGCACACTGATACCAAGAAGAGCCATGAGAGAGAACCGACAGAGATCTCTGAGAAACATTTGCTAACACTCTTTAAGATTGATAGTGAACATTGGGGAAAGATAATGTTCAAAATATGCACCTATCCCAAAAATAGGCTAAATAGGAACACTCATAAAGAACACGCATTCTTACCTTGTGAAGCCATTTTCCTTCTTGATTTTATCCCCAACACCACTGCTCGAGGAATGCAGCTTTTCCTTTTAAAAGAAAAAAGTCTAGTTAACTGCAGCATTAATCCTTTTCTTTCTGGGAGTGACTGCCACCATTTGACTGAGATGCACGTTTATTGCAGAATAAAATGCATTCAAACAGTTTATTTTGCCCGTCCTCATTTTATACCTTTTCCTCCTTCCTTTTCTCCTTATTCTTGTGTCTATGTTTGTCAGAACTTCCATCTCTATGTTTTAATTTTTCTTTGTGTCTCTTTTCCGAAGAATCCTTGTATTCACTGCAAAAAGAGATGGAGACAAGATTCAGAGGCAGCACAGAGACAGCAACAACACATTACATTTGGATAGGGCCTTTCATGTCGGGAGGGAGTGCCAAAGCGCTTCCAAGTAAGCCCAGCTCTTTTTACATTGGGAATCTACCCAAAACGCAGGTACACAGCACACACCAGCCTATTTTATGTGCATATCAACATATCATAAGAGGAAAGTGGGTCTTGTGAAACTGATGATACTGGATGAGTTACTGAGCTCATATTTCTTAGCTTGTACTTTTCAGTTGTGCAGAACATGCATTCTGACATTTACATACCAGTCTACTAAAGTTGTTTATTGGGTGTGACTTCAATGTAACAGAGCCAGGGCATCGCATCTCATTCACACCATAGTTCCAACGGAAACACAGGTACCATTACAGCGCAATTGTTGTATAAGAGATGCAGACAAGATTCAGAGGCAGCACAGAGACAGCAACAATGCTGGAATCAATTTACCACAATTTTACTTATCAAGCGCTCGGAGACGCTGCCCCCCATGAAGGGAGCTATATAAATGCAAATTATTGTTGCAGTTGTTATACCACTACACTTGAAGGTTTCGCATTCACTGATCTATGTGCTTTTATCTTTACATAAAGGTTAAAACAAAACTTCTTACACCAGAATAATGAAGTGGAGAAAGATTTGATCTGCACCCTGACATAGACCCAATGCATTACCACATGATGTTCTACTTCCCAGCTTGTCATGCCATCAACACCTGTTCAAGTGTGAGGTTTTCTGACAGCCGGTGGGTAAAGGCAAAACATGACATACTGCACTGAACTCCCATTCCCAGTCTGTGCACAGAAATGACAGTCACTTCTCAATTCTCCATTTATAAACATCGAAAGCTAACTTAAGTATCGGGGAGTGTGCAAAGTACATTAAAATACTGTAGAATATTTCACAAAAGACCACAATCTAACAGAGTTAATTAACACAAGTTCAATCACAATAATCAGATGCCAAATACTGAATCACTCCAACTGCTCCCAATCTTCCAAGTTTTCTGCTGGCAGAAAATAATAGCCAAAGGTCTGGTGTACCGCACACTGAGCTTAGAGCATAGAAGGAGTGAGCTTTTAATGCCACTATATTCCCTGCAATGTAAGATCATTCCTAAAAGTTCCTTGACTGGATTCTAGGCAACAAGTGGGCCACACAGAGGATAGTGCACGAAATAAACTGAAGGTGCTGCTACACTGACTCTTGCCCATTAACAGCTGGACTCACCTGATGTGAACTGAGTAACCTGGGATCAATCTGCAGAGCAAAGAATGTGGTTCCAGTTCCTTGAACTGGGCTGCAGTTTTCATTTCCAATTTGCCTGCCTCCTTTTTGACAAACTATTTATCAGCTCTTTCAGTCAATTGCTGACCACATAAAAACACTCAAAATGATCCGTCACAAATACCACGCTCACTCAATGTGTTATCAGCCGGAGAGATGACTGACCTGATCCCTCCCTCACAAATGTGTAACACGATAAAGATATTCCCAATTTAAAGTGAAATTGCCATCACTCTGGGTGCTCCTGCAATACCTGCCTAGTCTGTGAGGGGAGGAGAAAAATGTGCTGCTTAAATGTGCTCCAGCTGGAGGGAGCTTGACTGGCAGTCAGTGATTCCTATGCAGCAAAATGCTGGGGCCAAAGGGTAGCTGAAAGATAACACTGATTCCAGGAAACACAAATGTTGAGAAATGGAAATCGAGCACAAGCAACAGTGAGGGAGGGCAGCGAATAGAAACTGCACGAGGCAGTGGAAGCAGAGGCAGAAACAGCTGACGGTTTCAAATCAAAGATCTCCACAGTGCCCTTAGCACCTGCAGTGTGGTCCTGACGTAGCTTGGCACTGTCGTGAATCCTCATCTTAAATATCCAAACACCAAAACCACAGTTGCCTTGATCCACAACTCGTATTGTAGGAATCGCACACTGGAACTCATTCACAATTGGTGCAAAACCCATTTCAATAGGCTTTACATTTTGGGCAATGGTGAGAGCATAGTCCCTCAAATCTCAACTTAACTGTAGAACATAAGACAGGCCGTCAAATTAACACACAACTCTAGTTATTTACCCACACTTTTCTGTCTCCCTTGAAATAATGCAGAGTATGTAGCAGTTGTGTTAGGGAAGGCAAGAGGGCTGTGTTTGTCGTGCCCCCAATGGGTTGCCGACCGACAGCGCTTATCTAAGATAAAGTACAATAGGAGAACTTCCACCTTCAATATTGCATTGCAAGTATAAGGAAGTTTGGTTCAATTATCTGTTGCAACTAATATCTGAACAGTACATATCCCTAATTAGAAGCTGATGGTTTCTTCTTTTGCCATCAATTTTAAAAATACTTCCAATTTAGAGACAGAAATTGTCCCCTGTTCCCTGTTTAGAGTACAACGTAGAATGCAGGACTCTCAACATAAAAATATCTTGGCCAAATAAAACAACAGCCTGGTTATCCCCAATAAATCCACGGCTTCTATTGCACAAATAACTTCAGTGAGTTTGGATATAAATCATTTACTTCAAAGGAAACCAGTGAGCACATTGAGCCTCACCAGAGAACACCTCTGAAACCATGGCTGATTTTGTTGGGTTTGGAACCCTTTTTTACAGTTGACAAGATGATCAGAGAGAGAAAGAAAAACACATTAAATAATACTTCATTTGGTATAGTGCCTCATCACATCAAAACTTCACAATGTACTTCTGAGCTTTTCTGCAAAGGGCCTCTGTAGATGAATGCAACAGCCAATTTGCACAAAGTAATGCCCTGCAAACTGCCATGAAGTGAATGACCAATATTTTTCACGTAAGATATTTGGCTAGGGCACTAGTGTTATGAGACCTATAACATCCACTTGAACATGCAGATAGGAGCTTGGTTTAATGGCACATCCGACAATGTAATGCTCCCCCACCACTGCATAGGAGTGTCAGGTTAGGATTTGAAACAACCTTCTGATTTATGAGGCGAGTGAGGCAGACCAACACCTAAATGAATTTTGCGTGCTACTGGATAATACTTGCGTGACATTTTTCTTCGAGAACAGCTTTATTTTGAAAAAACTCAGTGAAAAGTTACATTTTGGAGAATTTTAGTGATCCACAATATTATGGGATTTTCAAAGTTAAATGATCTTACCAATCAAAAGATATTGGAAAGAAGCCCAATCCCACCTCCCAAATCCAACCCCCCCAGGTTGACAGTCTCAGTAAAGACTCAGGTTGGTCTCCCAACCAGAGAAGCAAACGTCCTGGCCAATAATCCCAGATAAGAAAAATTGGTTATTCCTTTCATGGCTGTTTGCTATGTGCAAATTGGCTGCCATGCCTGCAGACAAAAAGTTCACTACACTTTACAGAAAAACTCTGAACGATTTGAAACACTTTGACCAAACAAGAGATTATATCAAATAAGGATTATTTTTGAACATGATTCTTATCCTGGGTTTTTAGTACCTAGAAACTTCCTTCCATTTTGTTCATATTCATAAGAGATGAATTAAAATTTAAAAGAGATTATACAAGAACATTTTTGTACCATAAATGAGAAAGGATGCTTTCAAACTATATGGTTATTTTCAGTGTATAACAAAGTGATCAATATTAAAATTTAGAAGCTTATCAAACCTGCCACACCTCAAGATGCCTACTGACACAGGGATATCTTGCCTCCAACATGTCAACAAATGGGTCAGGTCAACAACTCAGGCAGGTGGAAGGAAACATTTCAATTAGATACAGTGCCTCCTCCAGGGAATCAAAGGTCAGGGACTACTCCAGAAGCCCATTTCCTGGCACCTTTAACACCCGGCTGAATGGTTTATTGGGGGCACTAAAAGACTGGATCACAAGTAGGAAACTCAACTGATTCATTGCATTTCTTCAGTTCCTTTTCTCTCTAACCACTTGCTTTATCATTGGATATTTCCTCATTTTCTTGCTGCAATGGCTGTCTCCTCTTCTGATCTATTTGACTTGCTTTCTCTGCCGGTTTGAAATAAAATGTTGAGGAAATACTGGTAACCAATTCAACAGTGCCATCAATCATGAAATACCCACCTTCCCCAATCAAAACAATAGAACATCACAGGAACTCCAAAACTATTTTTCACCCAATAAATCGTAAGCCCGTAATGATCAATGAATACCAACCCGTAATTAAGCCTTTCTTTGGCACAGATTGAGAACCACATTTAAACGCCTAGTGGTGACTTCAAAGCTCAATCCTTTCTTGAATTACATTTCATATGCGTAATAAACTCCACGAACAATGAACATATCTGAAAAAACTCAGCAATAATATCAATCAAAATGTTTCTGCAACGAGCAGAAAAAAATGCCTAGGAAGTTTCCTTTCAGGTGCCCCCCAATGGAATTTCTGAATGATGATTTTCAATAATGCTGTAGCCATTAGCAGTATTTTAGGAGTTGCATACATACATTTGCTAAGGATCGTGTATACACAACACTTGGAAGATTTAATCAAAACAGAAAACATCACAAAATGATTGTCCACTAAAAATGAAAGATGAAGCAGAGGTGATTGTAATGTTTAAAAAAAATCTATTATTAAATCAACCTCATTCACACACAGAAAGTCTGCAGTGATGTGGACATTTAACACACTTCTAACCAGGCCTCTAACCCAGACAGGTCACACAGCATCAAGTTACATTCTGACATGGTCACAAGGAAGGGACTGTGCAAAAAAGTTTGAATCTGACTGTCGAAATTTACATTACAATGTGAGATTTTAATACTACCCATTGAAATCTGAACAAGTTCACTGACACCTTATTTCACAAAGGAGGCAGGTCATTTCCATTAGCTTTGGAATAATGCACTTGCCAAAGAAGAACAATCACCAGCATTGAGATCTCACAGTAGCAACCCCCCACCCCACCCCGACATCTCATAGGCTGTAACCTTTTTACCCTACAACATAAACGTGGTTTACTCCAACTGTCCAGCAATTCAGCATTCCACTTCGAATTACTGAATATGTTTCATCTTCTGTAACATCTATCTTCCTCTGTACTAACAAAACAACAATGCCCATCTGCGCTTCAAGAAGGACCTCAATAACCGATTTATACCTCAGCGGAAGCATCTTGCATCTGATAGTGTCATGGGGGGGGGGGGGGGATCTCCTATTGTTGATGAGCTACAAGATACTTTTAATTAAGCTCTAAAATATGAGATATGCATCGTTCAGAGATACATCTGTATTCTGTAACAAATGTATGGCACTTTTTTCTGGTTGTCACGGGAGTTAAGAGTCCTCCTATGCGGGACAGACAGAGAGAGATTGAGATAGTGATAGAGACTGAGAGAGAGAATACATTATAAAGTGTAGTGACTGTGTGTTTTGTGGGAGAGACAGAGAAAGACAGAGAGAAAATATATTAAAAGAGTCCTCCCAGCTGAGTATAAAGACAAAATGTCTGCCTATGTGTCAATCTACATTCCATATTGGATCCTTTGGTTGCAAGCAAAGCTGCAACGGTGACAGCTAGTAATAAATAAGACGCTTTCTCTTAAATATGGGACTCCAAATCGAACCTCATCCCACCTTCTTTCCTTTTCTACATATCAAGTCAGTACATTTCTGTGTCACTCTACACAGTAAGTACAACTTCTTTAAATGCCTCCCAAAAGTGGTAACTTGTTCTAGTGCAGGGTAAGATTCTCCAGCTGCTAGTTCCTCTTGTGTACCTCATTTCTTCAAACAAGTTATCGCATGCCAGCTCCAGTTAACCTGCTAAAGATCCCGAGAGCACAAACACATTCAGTACTATAACTGGAATTAAAAAGGTCACATCACACATCTCTATAAACCTCACCCAAACCTGCTGAGAATAAATTCTCAGTGTCAAACAGAGGCACACACAGTAGTTTCATATCTTTCTCACAAGTGATAAAACAGTACAACAACTTGGATTTATATAGCACCCTTCATGTGGTGTAGCATCCCGGAGCGCTTCACAGTGGCAGAGTCTGACAACGAGCCAAGGGAAATGGGGGAGTAGGTGACCGTAAGATACAGTTTCCTCCCGACAAGAAAAAGTTGATTTGTAGATGTCAGTCGTACAACTGAAACACTCTCTGCAATTCACAGTAGCAGAAAAGAATTCTGCAAATGTACTGCTGTTGACACGATATGTAGCAATAGAATAAGCAGGATTATCAGCCATATTTAAAGAGAACATTTCCTGTTTGGATCCAAGAACTTTCAGATGTTGGAATAGATTATTCGCTCCCTGAGTAATTTACAACAGCAGAAAAATTCACCAATTTATTATTATTTATACTACATCAAGAACTGATACATAGCAATTTTACATAAACTAATCAACTCCTAGAAGCCAAATTCATGGTTGTAGACTCGACTAGATTTCCATAGTTCGAGGTTCAGGACTTTCCTTTCCATACCTACTAGAGAATTCCCCTAATTGAGTTCTGGTGAAGGGTCGTGGACCCGAGACGTTGACTTACTTTCCTTTCTCCATAGATGCTGCCTGACCTGCTCAATGTTCCCAGCAACATCTGTTTATGCCCCTAATTTGTTGATGATTGATGAGGTGGGGATGCAGCAGAAAGCACAACATACAAACGATTCCCCCAACTGAGAAAGCAGAAACCGGCAGCTTTCTAGTCTAGTGGGAACAGAACCAGGAGAATAAATATATATTTTTAAAAAAACTTGTTTACAGTGCCTTTTAGTAAAGGGAAGGGCGTCATATCAATGAAAGTTGCTGTTGCAGCTGCAGTACAGTACTTTACATTCCAAGACCAGGAAGTGCTTGCTGGTGAAGTAAATTACACACATCACTATCACTGTGAAGGGGTGCCTCCATTCACAATACTTGCTATTTCCTTTCATGACCCTCAGCCCTGGTTCATATGGAACATAACGCACAAGTTGCCAATGCTACCTGTTGCTATGATTCTTGGAGCTGGAAGAGCTGTGTTTGGACTTCTCACGATCCTTGTCCCGCTCCTTTGACTTGTGCTCCTTATGCTTGTGTTCTTTGTGCTTGTGTTTCTCGTCGCTTTTGCTGGACTTGTGAGAGTCTGCGAACAAATGGGAGACAAAAAACAATCAGCTGCTGTTCTTTTCATTTCCCCATTTTTTCTGATTCACAGTGAAAGCAATGTCAGACGGCTGTAACAAAAGGCAAAAACTGCTCTCACTCCTCCACATCGCTAAAAACGAACATCTTAACACTCAGCAAGCTACATTTTGCTGAATCTTTCCATTCAGCTCCAATGTTCCAATTAGATTACATCCTTACTCTTCGCTCAGTTAACCACTATCAATTAACCCTCAGCATTTTGTGTTGGGCAAGGGGACAAGGTGAAAAAAGAAACCTCGTAGCATATAAATCAACCATAACTCCCAAGTGCAAAATAGGCAGATTCCATCAGTGCAGCACTTAACTGCACGAGCTCAGTGCTCCCGTTAATAGAACAGGGGGCACGAGACCATCAGATTGCAGAGTTGGAGGACTTCTGTATTCATCTGAAGATGGGCTGTTAATCACACACATCATCTGTAACATTCTGTTGAAAAAATTAACTGGACAGATTTTGAAGATACTGGCGACGACCGTCTGAAAATAATAGTAAGCACTGTACAAGAAGAAGTCAACTTTCATAGTAGAGTCTAATTCCAATATAAATAATGATCTTTGCATTTAATACAGCATCTTTTACAATAGTATGACATGAAAGGTGCAGTGACTGTATTTTATAGAGTAACGCAACAGGATGACACCACATTATAATGCAGTTGTTGAGGTTCCTAAAATTTCAACCCAGCCTATAAGGGGGTCGATATTGCCAGACAGTGTTTCTGCATTCAATGCTCGTGCACAAAGCTAGCTAGATTACCTTCCGAGTCTCAGCCACCGGGGTCCGAGCTAAATAGCCCACTTCTGGGGAATCAGGTTATGTTATTTCCTGGCACACGGGAACTTGAAGTTGGTCCTCTTTAGTGCAGGAGCCAGCCTGCTTTATGAATTCTTTGGTGAGTGGATAAATGTTGAGGCACCACATTCCAACCACGACACAAGTGAACTCGTGTTAGAAGTATATTAAAACAGGGACCCAGTGAGGTAGTCCGGCTAGATGTCTGTACTCCAAATCGGCAGGTCGCCTGACTCTGCCACTGCCTCAGGCCGCTGAAACTCTTGTTCATGCCTTAATCTCCTCCAGGCTCGACTATGCAAACGCTCTGTTTGTCGGTCTTCCCAACTCCTCCCTCCACAGGCTGCAGATAATCCAGAACTCTGCAGCCCATGTCCTCTCCCGCACCAAACTCTGTGACCCCATCTCCCCCATTCTCGCCCGAGTCCATTGGCTCCCTATCCTTCAGAGGATCCAGTTCAAAATCCTGGTCCTCACCTACAAAGCCCTCAACTGTCTCGCCCCACCCCATCTCTGTGACCTCCTAACCCCGCTCAGCCGGCTCTGGCCTGCTCCATGTCCCCCTACCTACCCGTCCCACCATTGGCGGGAGAGCCTTTAGTCACTCTGCCCCCAACCTCTGGAACTCCATCCCCCAATCACTCTGCCTCACGCCCTCCTTAGTCTCCTTCGTCCCACCTCAAAACCCTCCTCTTCGACCAGGCCATTGGTCACCCCCCTTCCCCTCCCCACCCTTCTCCCCCCTGACCCCAGCTCAGGTCTGAAATGCTGTACACTGTCCAGCGCCTTGGGACATCCTCCCAATGTGAAAGGGCTATACAAATGTAATCTTGTTGTTGCTGTTGTTGTTGTCTCCTGGGAGCAAATTCAACCTAAGGGGCGACTTGTCATCTATGCACCCCATGGCATTCATTTTAAAATTACTTTCGGATTGAACAAAGTCATCAGCAATTGAATACAGACCTCTCTGGTCCTAGGACAAACTATCAACCTACTGACCTGCCTAAAACATCCCCCAATTTCATCGGCATAGGTTATATTGGGTAACAAGTAATATCAGAAAAGAGCTCCAGGCATTATTGTGGACAACACTGATAAAACACAGCCAGAAATTAGCATTCACACTGAACTATTTTATTGCTAACTCAACAGGATTAGAAAAAATGACAAACAATTACTGACTACTGTATTTAGAACAGAGGAAGTGGAAGTTGGCACACGTTCATAAAAGTTCCTGGAGTATTGAAAATAACCTGTGAATACTAATATTTCCAATTACACCTTGTGACCATGGCATTAACTCATCGTGGCAGCAAAATAACCTGGTACAATGGGACTGAAATCAGTTCTGCTCCAAGTCTTGTGAGGGAATAACTGGGAAAGCACAAAGGGTTAAAAGAGCAGGCAGCATAGATTCAGGAAGGAGAGGTCACCTTCAACCAACTATATATTCAAAGCAAATAGCCTCAAATTTGCAGATAAAAATCATAAACGCTAATAAATGAGGAAGAATTAAGATCAGAAGTAGTTGGAATATTTGACTTCACAAAACAAATAGTAGCCAGATGAGCTCAAAGTGCACAAAACATTATTGAAATTATTGTGGACAACACCGATAAAACTCTCAGGCCAGTAACTTTGTGGCAGTAAAATGGGATCGATTGCATACAAATCAATAGGGTAGATTGTTGTTCTGAGAAGTTCCATATGGACATTACGGTCAGTTTTAGTTAACTAATCTCAGAGAGGAAAGCGACTGAAAGGACACTAAGAATTAGGAATCAAAGTTCTGATAAAGTTCTGTTTGAAAATACGAGCTAATCTAATAAATTTCAAGATGTTAAAGCGTCAAAAATGTTGATCTGGGCAAATATCTGTATCAAGCAAGTTCAAAGCATCAACTCATAAATTAGGAAGTGAAGAGTAAGAAGGAAAGGTGCGCAGAACTTCCTTTTTATTTTATAGAAAGGGGAAATTCACCATTGAAGATCATTAAACTCTACGTTAAAATAGGTTTGAGGCAAGTAGATGGACATCTGAAATGAAAAGGAAAATCAAGGGACATGGTAAGAAGTCTCATGGTGGGATTAAGAACCATCAAGGAAGGTTAAACCGGTAGGGCCAAATTTTTAAAAAAATCATAATGCTCCAAGGAAATGAAGCGCTCTGGGACATTACCCAGCGTGAAGGGTGCTATATAAATGCAAGTTGTCGTTGTTGTTATTGAAACGACTAGGTTTCTGCTCCTGATCACAATCAGTGTTCCATACTAAAAAGCCACCGAGTCTCAAGGGCATGTGCAATAAGATTGGGCTCTCCTGCGAATTTACCCCTGCCCTCCATTGAATTACACTCACTCCGGACCTGTACACAAACAACCACTTGGGGAAGATATTGGAGGGTTGCAGGGATCTGTCGAGCCATAGTGCAGCATGAGTTAATACCTTGAAGAGGGAAAATTAGGGCTGGGGAAGAGAAAGAGGAACCGAAAAAAACTGCAATGTACAACATTATTCTTGCAGTTAATTGTATGAGCAAAATCAAAAAGTGCTGGTGCCAGGCCTATTGAAGCAGAAATCATTCGCTCTACTAAAACTGCTAAAAATGAAGCTGCATCCACTCAGCAGTCAATGGGACACTCGCTATACTATACGCCAACTCCATTGTCTGCTTTATGACTTCAATATCAAGACCAAACCCCCTCTCACTCACCGAACCCAAAACTTTGTCCCAACATGACCTGACCCCTCCATTGTCAGCTGTAGAAATGCAAACCTCAAATCCAACAATCTAAAATACTATTATTTCAATTGAAACAAGAAATCAGAACAGATAAAGAATATTAATCACCTAAGCAAGACCTATATCTCTTCTCGCTCAACCCACAAACTTTTATGGTGCATAATACGCAATATCGAGACCAAATTGAACAATCTTTGTACACGTCAGGCAGTTCCTTGTTGCTTTTGTCCACCTGAGTCAGGAGCACTTGGCACAGTTCTGCATGACAAACTCGCTGTACCAGCCAAGACGACGTGGATTATACCAATAATCTAAATGTTGTATCAGACAAATAACTAAAGAAACCTTCACTCCTCCTCCTGGTGGAACCCAGCTATAGCTATTTACTCCTAGGTGATTCAATACTAAAAATGATTCTTCTGAAGATTGTCCAGAAATGGTACCTATAGATCAATAATCCTGTGCAAACTGATGCAGACTCCAGACTGGGCATTTAGTCTGAATAAGAATGCTGAAGTCGGTGACTGTCTACACAGATGACAAGCACACCTCTTCCTTTGTGCAGAAGTGAAAGAGTACATCTCAACACTGGAGATCTTTTGAGCAAATGAAGCAGAACCCAGAAGAACACGAAAAGTAAGAAATAATGCCAGCACCTGCTGAACTTAAACAATACCATGCACGTCGATCCAGTCCCGCATTTTTCAAACTGCCAACAACCAATTGGTGACTTCTTTAACAACTCAACCCAATTCGTAACACTTATTGGTGTGATTTCCAAACTACTGTGAAGCCTGCACTTTAAAGAAATCCAAAAGGTATTGGAAATAGAGGTGGGTAGGTAAAATAATCACCAATATCCCTTTGACACAAAACATTTATTTTTGCATCACATCATTTTTTTTGGGGGGGGAGGAAATCATCAGTCATTGAAAGCAGTAGATGGTATCCAGTCCCATGATGGAATACCCACTCTGTCTCACTCCCCTAAATTATATATGATCAGCACAAACGGTGACTGAAAAGAAACTTTACTAGGACACTTGGCAAGGCTCAGCTCCAACAGACTAATCTCTCAAAAGGAGAATGCAGTGACAGCATGGAGACAGCACCTTCCACACCATCACTCGTGGTGCTCTCCCTTTAAGTTCCAGCATCCAAGAGGCCTTCAAAGTTATTCCTCTTCTCTTCATTCTTCTCCAATCAATTTTAGATGTGTATTCCAACTCATACCAATACAATTCCAACTGACCTCTTTCAAGAGCTAACAGTCATTCACAATTCCAAACCCAAACATTTTCTGTGCTAGAATTTCATTCTGAAAAAAACTATCAACTGACAGGTTATTGAAGATGAAAAATTTAAGATTTGCAAAATGGAAATTGTGTAAGTTCCCTGAATCCACCTTGGTCCAGACGTACCCTATTTAATTATGTAGCATTTTAGAGTGTCCAGAAGTTGGTAATTTGTTGAATTCAATCTCAGCCTTGAAGCAAGTTTTCACAGTTCTTAAAGAACTCACAGAAAACTGGTTTCAAATGAAGGCCTGTGTTGAGAAATGGGGAATTGTGGACACTCTGGAATGCTACAGAAATAAAATAAACTTAGAATCAGGTGGAATTTCTCCCCATTTGTTTCTGAAACCATACTTCCAGTTAATACTCAGGATACCATTTGACTGAATAAATGAAGAGGTGGAGCTAGTGGAAGGAAGTTACCAGAACCCTCATGCTCCCCCACTACTGCCACACATTCTGAAATATAAAAACTGCACACAATCCTTACATAGACTAATCTCTCATTGTTCCCACTCCGAATCTCTCCATAGGCCTGCGAAAGAATCTGATTGGATGGGCTTGATGTAACTATTAAATGATCAAAGAGTTTAAAAAAACAATACATAGGGTTACTGAATCTGGAAAAAGAGGCTCGTCTCTGGCTATGTGCTATCTGATTTCACATCTCTGTGCTAGGACCATTTTTTAGAAAAGTGGCACTTTACCCATCAAAATACTACAGGAATACTAATTCATCAAGATGCACAATACATCTAGATATGCAACTACTGTATTTATGACAGATTCCTTTCTTCCAGCAGCAGTTTATTTTCCTAAATATTAAACAAAGTCACCAGAACCATCATGCTCTCTCCCTACACACTACCAAAAAAAATCATTACCATTCTAGCGGGCATGCTGTCACTACTTGGGAAGCAGTTCGTCAGATTTGAACACAATAGGCGAATAAAGTTTGCACCTGAAAATCACACAACTTCAGCCAAGGCAACAGTAGGGAGGGGTGGTACAATTGGCCTCAGCATTGCTGGGCTGGAGAGGAGATATTAAGACCAGTCTCCATCCAGATAGTAGTGCCTATGACCCCTGCTTTGAAATACTGTACATATATGTCAGGCAAAAATAAAAGAAACTACGATGTCCCCATGGTTGCAAATCCTTTCAACATCCAGACAAGACTGAAAGAGGAAAAATGGATACCCACATGGCAAGGCACTGTACAACAACAATTTACACTTAAATAGCACCCTCCATGCAGGGTAGTATCTCAGAGCGCTTAACAGTGGCGGAGCATGACTCCGAGCTGGGGGGAGGGGGGAGCGGTAACCTGTAAGCACGGTTGAAAAGTAAGCTTTTGAAAAAGGTGACAGAGGGGGCAAAGGGGAGGGGGGGATTGTTTCTTTTTATTCCCCCACCCCACAAGAATGCATAGTTTTTATTGATTACTAAAACTTTCTGCACTTTATGCCCCTCCAAACCCTCTGGAAGCAAACATCAGTGTGACTCAGCACCTTCAGGCAAAGGAGGAAAGAAAATTTAAAGGGTGTTTGAGCAAAACAAATTATTCTCCATTTAATTTGAACAATAATTCAAAGCAGTCATTCAGAAGGACAGAGTACTATTTTAAACATGACAGACACAATACGATCTGTTAGTAACAGGTTATAGAACCAGTTCCTAAAAAAAAACACCCCAATTGCCAGCGTCCACTGTCAATGCCCTGCTTTAGGTTGACAAGTTCCCCTTTGACTTTGAGAAAGGTGACAGATGAGAACGGAGTGTGCTTTTTATTTAAAAAGAACAGCACAGTATAGGAAGCTGGGCTGAAAATGATCTTAGATGAAGGGTGGGAGTTCTAGCCATCATTATACCAATCCACATTATAATAAACTAAATTCTGCGTCACTTTTCCAGAAATGTCTAGACGCCACACTAACAGCAAATAAAAAATACACTTAAGACCCGGGAGATTCAAACGCCGGCTTGTTTCTAGGATATAGATATAATTAAGAGGCTGGGGGTAAAGTGCAGAAAGTTTAAAACAAATCCCCCCAAAACAATACAATCACATTTTATGGGGAGGAGGTGGAGGGGAGAAAAAGGAAAAAGACGGTTTGAAAGCCAAACAGCCAGGCCACATGTGAGTCAAATACAGTTGTGTGCTGGGTGGGCTTTCCCCAAAAAACTGGGGGGGGGGGAGGGGTAATAAATGCACGTGGGGAGGGGGGAAGGAACAAAATAGAAACATTTGTTAGGCAGAAAAAGATCAAGGGCCATCTAGTTTGCCTTCCACCATGCTGGTAGTCGCTTGCACATGTTGTGTCCCAAACTATACCTTCCTCACTCCCTTCGTCTCGCCCCCTCTCTTCCTACTTTCAGGTCTCTGCTGAAGACCTCTCTTTTCGACCGCGCCTTTGGTCACCTTACTCCCCCTCCCCCCCGGCTCGGCCCTGGGCTCCATTACTGTGAAGTGCTCTGAGACGCTGTCCGGCGTGGAGGGCGCTATATAAATCCAAGTTGTTGCTGTTACTGTATCCCCTTAAAGAGATATTATTTTCCAGCAGAAATCTTGCATTTATTATATATTAAAAATAAATAATCAAATGAAAGGCGGGGGGGGGGAGGACACGGGGAAGGAAAGGAGAAGGGGGCTTTAGTTCAGAAAAAAAATATTTTCTAGCAAATCTTGCATTCATCATTTTTGTTTGGTGTGTGTTTTTTTAAAAAGGAGAAGAAAATGAGAAAAGAAAAAGACATTGGGAAGAAAACAAGGACAGTAAAAGAGGGTTTTAAGAAAATAAAAATATATAGTGAGATATAAAAAGAAAAAAAATGAAGAAATATATAGATGCAGATATTGAGAGAGAGAAGTTATATATGTGTATAGTGTGTGTATATAGAAAGATATATGAGATATATATATAGAAAAAGATATTAGAAAGATATATATATGCATGTACATGTGTGTATATAAAGATACATGAGCTATATATGTGTGTATATATAGATGTGTGTATATATAAAGATATATAAAAGATATATATATATGTATATATATATAAAGATATAAGAAAGCTATATACATGCATGTACATGTGTGTATATAAAGATATATGAGATATATATGTGTGTATATATAGATATATATGTACATATGTGTATATATAAAGATATATAAAAGATATATATATGTATATATAAAGATATAAGAAAGCTATATATATGCATGTACATGTGTGTATATAAAGATATATGAGATATATGTGTGTATATATAGATATATATGTATATATGTGAATATATATGTGTGTATAAAGAAAGATATATATGTGTGTGTGTATATAAAGATATATAAAAGATATATATAAAGATATATATATGTGTGTGTGTGTGTGTATATAGAGAGAAAGATATATAAGAGCAAAAGATAGGAGAGAGAGAAAGAAATATATATATATATATATAAATATACAGAGAGAGAGAGAGAGAGAAAAAAAAGAAGAGCAAGGCCCAGGCAGGCACATTGCTCCCTCCATGCAGGAGCCTCGCTTGTGCAGCAGCAGCAGCGCCAGGCAGCGAGAGGGAGGGAGGAGGAGAGAGAGAGAGAGAGAGAGAGAAAAAGAAAATGGCGCAGAGACTAAGTCCTAACGGCCGAAAAGCCCCTTTTCCAGCCGCGATCCCGCCTCGGCCGCGGCCCCGAACCCCGATCCGACCCCGGATCCCGGGACTCGGGGTGTGTGGCTACCGGCCTCGGGGGGTCCGGGGCCCCTGGGGGGCCGGGAAAGGGGTGGTATTTGAGGCCGGTTTGAACAATAGGGCTTGTGGGCACGTCGACGGGACTTAGTCTCTGGGCGCCATGTCTGATCCTCTCTCTTGTTCTCTGCCACACACACCGAGAGGGGAGGAGGGGGAGGGGGGGGAAAATGGGGTCTTTTCCCCCCTTTTTTACCTCAGTTTCTCTCACTTCGCCCCCCCAATCTGTCTGCCCTGACCAGGACTGTCCCCTGGTGACGAGGGGGGGCTTTTAAAACGAGGTTAAAACCAACAAAAACAACGATTTTTAAAACCACCTCTCTCTCTCTCTCTCCTCTCCTCACACACACACTCTCTCTCTCTCTTCTCCCTTTCTCCCTCCATCCTCTCCTCACACGGAATATATCCACAAATACACATTACCGTTATCCCTACAGTGGTAATAATAATAATAACGATGAGAATGGGCAAAAAGAAAAGCCCACAAAAACAATGATTTTTAAAACCCTCTCTCACTCCCTCTATCCACACTCTCTCTCTCTCTCTCCTCTTTCTCTCCCTCCATCCTCGCTTTCCTCTCCTCCTCGCACAAGGGAACGTATATATCCACCACAACATAATAATAATAGTAATTATTATATTATTATTAAGGATAATAACGTTGATAACGAATAGGGGGAGAGGGGGGGGGAAAAAAAAACCCCCCAATGATTCTCAACTCCCTGCCTTCTCGCACAAAACACACACACACACACATATATAGAGATAGATATCTTATTGTAAACGAATAATAATAATAAATAATAATAATAATCATCGTCAAGACTCACCGTTCAAACGAGAATCGCTGCCGCTGAGCTGCGAAGGTAAAAACATCACCATCACCATCACACACTTCTCTCTCTCTCACACACAGACAGAGTAGTCGATTAAAAAAAAACTTTTCTTTTTTTTTGGGGGGGGGGTTAAAAAAACACACGAAAGTCACAAATAATAATAATAATAAATGATATCGTAATTAATTCCGTCCAATAAACCAGAGAGGGAGAGACAGAGAGAGAGAGACACACACACACACACACACACAGAGGGAGAGAAGAGAACACCAAAAAAAATGGAGGTGAAGAGAGAGAATGATATATAGATATAGATATATATATATATATATGTGTGTGTGTGTGTGTGTGTGTATATATATGTAGAGGGAGAAGGAGAGGGGGAAAAAAGAAGGTAAGGAAAAAAAGATCAAAAATCACAAAGGTCACCCCACCAGCAAAAGAGAGAGAGTGTGTGAGACAGTGAGAGACATATAAAATGCCTTCAAAAATAATAATACATAAATAAATATAGATATATATCAAAAAATCTCTCTTCCTCCCCCCCACCACATGTTTAAACCTTCCTCCCCCTCTCTCTCTCCTCCTCCTCCTCTCTTCTTCTCTCCTTCTCTTCATCAAAGTCACTCAATATCAATCAATCGCCCCCCCCCACACACACACAGATAATAATATATATTTTTTACACACACACACACACATATACTTATATATATATTGATTTAACTTCCCCCACACCCCCCCCCCTCTCTCTCCCCCCTCCCTCACTCCCTCTCTTTCCTCCCTCTCCCTCCTTCTCTCTCTCTCTCTTTCCCCCCCTCTCCCCACACTCACTCTCCCCCTCTCTGTACCCCCCTTTACCCCCCTTTACCCCCTCTCTCTCCCCCCTCTCTCCCTCTCTCTCCCCCCTCCCCCTCTCTCTCTCTCTCCCTCACTCCCTCTCTTTCCTCCCTCTCCCTCCTTCTCTCTCTCTCTTTCCCCCCCCCTCCCCACACTCACTCTCCCCCTCTCTCTGTACCCCCCTTTACCCCCTCTCTCTCTCCCCCCCTCCCCCCTCTCTCCCCCCTCTCTCTCTAACCTGATAGTCCTGGGAGAGGTGGTGATTGACGCTCATGTCGCCGCCGCCGAGGAGGAGGAGGAGGAGGAAGAGAAGGAGGAGGTGATGATGAAGGTGTGCGGGGTGGGGGGGGGAGCGGGAGGGGAGCGGGAGCCGTCTCGAGCCGCCCACAGCCTCTCGCCGTCACCGCCGCCGATTGAGAGTCGGTCCCCGGCGGTTGTGTAACGTCTAAGTCCTGGTTTCGGCGCACTGCGCACGCGCACACTTCCATTTAACTCGGGGGCGATTTACATGTCAATGTCACTCCCCCTCTCCCCTCCCCCTCTCCCCTCCCCCTCTCCCCTCCCCCTCTCCCCTCCTCCCCCTCTCCCCTCCCCTCTCCCCTCCCCCTTTCCCCCTCCCCCCTTTCCCCTCCCCCTCCTCCCCTCTCCCCTCCCCCTTTCCCCTCCCCCTTTCCCCTCCCCCTCTTTCCCCTCCCCTTCTCCCCTCCCCTTTCCCCCTCTCCCCCCCTTCTCCTCCCCTTCCCCCTCTCCCCTCCCCCTTTCCCCCTCCCCCTCTTTCCCCTCCCCTCTCTCCCCTTTCCCCCCCCTTCCCCCTCCCCCTCTTTCCCTTCCCCCTTTCCCTTCCCCCTTCCCCCTTTCTCCTCCCTTCCCCCTCCCCCCTTCTTTCCCCTCCCCCTTTCCCCTCCCTTCCCCTCTTTCTCCTCCCCCTTCTTCCCCTTTTCCCCCACTTCTACCACCTCCCCTTCTTTCCCCTCCCCCGTTCCCTTCCCCCTCTCCCCCCCTTCCTTCTCCCCCTTCCCTTTCCCCCCTTCTTCCTCCTCTCCCTTTCCCCCCTCTTCCCCCCCATTAGTGAAATCAACAGCGCAAGTAAAACTCCTATTTGAACCGACCACATCCTTCCCTTCCTTTCTCTCCCTCCCCCTCTCTCTCCAAACCAAACGGTATAATAATAAATTAATTAATTAATAATGGTAATAAAAATCAATCCAATAATAATTTGGTCACTTCAATCCACGACTGTTTGTGGGGACACTGCTGTGTGCAGTTGACTGCCGGGTTTGCCCACAAAAAATATACATACGGTCGATTTACTTTACAGTATATTCTGTGAAACTCTTTGAGACGTCTAGAAGACGTGATCAGGCGCTTTGTAAAGGCAAGGATTATTATTTTTATTGATCATAATCCTTGCATCTGGTACAGGGCCTTATCGGTACTGTATATTTCTTTCACCCACAAAAATATTCTCCTTTCTCAAAATATTATGTGTTATTAATATAATCTATATCCCAGCACAGCCCACAAAATATAGTCAAATCACTTTACATTATGTTCTGTGAAGCGCTTTGAGGCGTCACGAAGACGTGATAAGGCACCGGATGTCAAAATGCAAGGATTATTATTATTATTATTATCATCATCTGCGTCTTCGAGCCATCTCCAAGTGCTTCACAGGATACGTGAAGGCATCGGGCTCCGACACTGATAAGAGCTCCGAGACACTGTCTGGAGTGAAGAGCCCTATATAAATGCAAGTTGCTGTTACAAAGTAGAATGAATGTCTGTTTTGTAGGCGTAATAATTGGTGGCAGCCAATTGCACACAGCAGCGTCCCGCAAACAGTCGTAGATTGAGCGAACACGTTATTATTGTTATTATTTTATGATGATGATGATGAAAAGATCCTTCAGACTTTCACTCCCATCCCTCCACCACAACACACCCCACCGTCCCCAGCCCCAAACAAATACACGCTGCTCTAGGATCTTTTTGGGGGACGAGAGGCGAGGAAACAGTCAAGGCTTCCACCAGCTCAGCTTGGAAATGGGCAGATTCCCCTGGGCCTTTGGGAAATGGACCCTTCCTACTTTGACAAGCAGAAAAAAGGTGTGTCCACCCACCCTCCCTTGACAAACTAACGATGAACCAAATACCTCGGGGGCCAGAAACCACAAAAATAACACTCAATAGCACTCGCGAAATAAAATGATGTCACAGTGTGTTTCTCTGATGTCACCTCATCAAAGCAATTCAACTGTCACACTTTCTTTTCCATGGTTGATTGCCTCAACTGTTCCAGCCAAACGCATTGCACACTTCAGGGGTAGTGAATAAATCTTCCTCCAGGGTACCCTTCAGCTCACACATAATAATAATAATAATAATAATGCTCATATTTGATACAGCGTGTTCCGTGTTGGGAGGGCAAATCAAAATGCTTTACTGGATATACTGTAAAGGTGTCAAAAAGTACTTGTGCAGAACCTATCTCCAGGGACATAGTGGTGGTTGACAGCGAGATTGGGTAAGTTTGGCATGATTCTAGAAGGAGTGAGTTTGATGGGACCAATGATCGTTTCTCGTCACGTACTTTCTTTCCTATGTTAATGGGCCATTAGCTGTCTATGTTGCTTGTGGTTTTAAAGCTTCTTCCAAATCTTGGTGTTCTCTGCCTACTTTGTCCTACTTTCGCTTCTCAATTCTACGATGGGATTCTCATTCCGATGAAGAAGTTGATTGAACATTTTGAACATTTTCTCTTTCTAGATCCCCTCATTCCATGCAACAATTTCTGGCTCTTAATCCAATTTCCCATAAAGATTCTTTCGATGTGCCTTATCTCCAAATCCAGTAGCCCTGAGCTCTTTTAACCTGCCGGAGAGCATTGGGATCCCGTGTTTATCTGGATTTTGTGGGGGGGGAGATAACCTTCACCAGAGCACCGAAGTTGGATTGTCATCAGAGCGAGTTGGCTGGTAGGGTATGTTGTGGGCCGAGCCAATCTTATTCGAACATAAAAGTTTCCTGGCGGAAGAAGACCGAGGTCCATCTAGGTCGCCTTCCACCAGCCTGGCAGTCGCTTGACATGTCATGGAGCATGTATTACCTGGAATTATCTGGCAAGTAGATACAACAAGCAAGGAATGTCAGCGAGGGTGGATTGGAAATCTAAGCCTGTCACGTTCCTTTAGCTCAAAACGGTTGAACTTATTGACCAGGTGTAGGCCTGTGCTTCTTTTTGGCTGGAGTGATTCCAACGTTCATTAAGATTTACGGAAGCACTTCCATTGTAAAACGATATCTTTTATTCGGATTTAGGATGCAGTTGGATCTATAACGTACTCCAGATCTTTTGCTTTTTTTAAAAAAAAACACAATTTATGAATGGTTCCGTTTTGGTCTGGTCATAGATGCAGGGACAGATGGGGAGCAGTTCAAGGATAAAAGGTTGTTTAGTGCTTTGAGAAGCAACCGTTTAGAGCCCCCAATGAAACCATTTACTGGGATGTTAAAAGAAGCCAGGAAATTGCACAACTAAAAACCCTCGATCATCTGGCCTGGACTCCCAGACCCCAGCCGTTTGATTTCCTAGAAGCCTCCTCCGTGGGATAATTGGAATAGAGTCCTCCCTCCCTGGCTTCCACTGCTCGAAATAGATTTAAAACAAAACCGTTTCAATTTTTAAAAAGTTAATGCGCAAAATGCTTCTTTCTAGAGGGGAAACCCCGTTATAATAATAATAATCCTTGGATTTGATATAGCTTCCAGACGTCTCAAAGCGCTTCACAGAACAGGCTGTAAAGCGAATTGACTGTATATTTGTGGGCAAAACACGGCAGCCAATTGCACACAGCAGCGTCCCACAAACAGTCCCTAGTATAGTGTGGCTTTGTTTATAACATGGTGTCTGTCTTTCATGGGCCCTCACCAACCGGAATTGTTGTTCACGTGTTAAATAACTGCCCGACTTCCGAGTTGCTGGGTCGCTCGCTGCTGACGTTAGTTCCTACATGATGCACACGTGCTGCGAATGCCGGCTTTGTGCAGGAAGCACGGCTGATTTCGTTTGATGTCAGTTCCTCCCCTTTCCAAAAAAAATCCACAAAGGGATGAAAGCAAACTCATTATAGGCGTGGATATGTACAGAAGGTGCCCAGATTCAATCCGTGACGAGTTGGCTGATATAGTGCCTGTTTGTGGATGCTGCAAATGGGCTCTCGTGGGCAAAAGAGGGTGAGAAAAAGCAGAAGTCTTTCAGTCGCCATTGCTTGACATCCACACGAGGAACTAAAGACTGCATGGAATTGAAGTCCAGCTGAGATCATTTTTTTTTGGTGGAGATAAAAATAGCAGTGAAAGTTCAAAAAAAAATTGGAAACGGTTAAAAAAAAGAACTGCATAGAAAAAGTATTTATACAGATTAACCATGGTACCTGCACCACATTACATGTCACACGGAAAAGCCAATAAAACTGTACCACAGCACTTGCACAGGACAAGTGTAGTTAGTAGACAGGTTAGCCTCAGTCCTACTGCATCATATCACACGCAGATTAATGGAATAACAACAATATCAGAATGATCAAACTTTAAATGCCCAATTTTTGTTAGGCTTCCTCAGTCACATTCATAAGCTTGTCTGATATGGAGCGCTAAAAACATTAACATGATGATCAACCTCTTGTTTTGTCACCTGCCCTGCCTTGTTGCTTGCAGAATACTCTAATCATGAACCTACTCAAACAATATAGTGACCTTACCCCAGGAAAGTTCACAGAGTTTCTTCCTCCACTTAAAGGAAATCGAAAGGTTTTCAGAATGTCATTTCAAGCCTGCATTATTGATCAATGAAAAACGTTAGATTTTTCGGGGACAACATATTCATGGTGGCTGTAGGTTACGAACCACTGCTCTGCGTCTAGCATTTGGTTACAACATCATCAACAACAACAACTTGCACTTATACAGCGCCCTCCACCCAGGGTGGCGTCTCAGAGCGCTTAACAGTGGCAGAGCCTGACTCCGAGCTGATGGGAGGGAGGGAGGGAGGGAGGTAGCCGTAAGCACGGTCGAAAAGTAAAGTTTTCAGGCGGGACTTGAAAGAGGGGAGAGAGTAGAGGGACAAGGCGAAGGGATTGAGGGAGAGAGGGCTGGTCTCAAGACCTTTCTCTTCGACCGTGCCTTCAGATCCCTGCTCGACTCTCTACCCCCTCCTCGCTCCCTCCCTTCCCTCCCCTCACCCTGACCATTTCCCCCCAATGCTCGGGTCCCGACCCAACTATCCAGCGCCTTGGGACGTCCTCCCGACGTGAAAGGCGCTCTATAAAT